ACTCTTGTATTCCTCATTCTTACTGGAACATGATATATCTACAAGTTTCACTCTATATACAATTCAACACTAATGGAATACATGAAAAATCAAAACAAATTTAAAAAAAAAAAAAAAAAAAAAAAATCAAAATAGCATTTCAACCATGCCCCTCTATAACGGTAAAAACATGTATATTTTAACACAACTTTTGCTAGGAACATACAACATATATTTATTTAAACACAACTTTTCTTAATATCACCAGGAAATTATTCTGAAGGACTAGACATATGATTAATAGACTTACAAAAATTATACCAACACGATAATTTTTACACATGATAAATGATGTGACACAAATTTCATGTACTAAGCTACTATTTCTTAACTTTATGCTCTTGTCTTTGATTAATCAATGTTGAGGACCAATCTTTCACAACTAATGTACATGTACTAAGCTACTACTTCTTAACTTTATGCTCTTGTCTTTGATTAATCAATGTTGAGGACCAATCTTTCACAACTAATGTACATGTACTAAGCTACTAACTTTATGCGCTGACTTCAATGGTGGGGAGTAACATATTGTTCAATGCAATCTTACTAAGCTACTATTTCATACTTTAAGTATGCTCTGACTTTGATTATTCAATGGTGGGGAACATTTCTTAACAACTGGTCAGCATCAGTTTTACTGGTTAAATATATGTCTGACTGAACATTAGACCTTGTAACTTATTTTTCACCAGAAATTAGTCTTAAAAAATAAAGATCTTCAATCATGTATACAAAGTTCAGAATGGAAGAATTATCATATAGTTTGACTAGGTCTATCTTACATATATATATATATCTTTTATGAACAGACTTCAGAGTCTAAAAAAAAACAAACGCGGATCCAGGGGCCCTCCTTTTGTGGGAAAAATTTGGTTGATTATATATAGGGAATTACTGAAGCACGACTGGAGCTGACACCCTCTTAGGGCAGTCAGGGGGACCTCCTTTATGAAAACTTCTGGATCCACCACTGAAAACTTATTGAATTCCTGCACAACGTCATTTTAATCATTCAACATGCATTAACCAAAAATATGTCATGTCTGTCTTTCAGATTCAAGCAAAACTTCAAGGTGTTGGACGAAACGTAGATTAATATATGTAATAATGATGATTATTGTAACGATTTTATGGTTAATGGTCCTGCCTAGAAAAAATGTACATGATTTATGTAAGATGAAGGAATTTTTGTAGCTCTACACTGGTATATGTTGTAAAACATTTAATATTTCATTTCAATCTAAAAAAAATGTTTTTGTTACATTTCATAATGTATTGTTTTGTTTATATAAATGTCATGCTGCCCATCACAGATAATCAATTAGAACAATAAATTTCCTTATTGTAGTCAATCCTTTCTCTCTATGATTCCGATAGGCCTAAATGTGGTTGATATACCTATTTTGGGTGGTAACGACAACCTTAGCCTTTATAAGAAAAAACTTCACAAAAATAATTCTATTTCACATTTATGCATACATGTGTATTCATCAATTTAAATTTGAAACACTTTTAATCTAGAAACATTGCACGTAATATTCTGGGACGCCTAAATAAGGCCCTTTTCAAACTTACTCCTTTGAACTGTATGAACACTTTTTCTTTTTTAAGGTCTTTCTATTTGATGTATGTAGCCAAGTACCATAAGGAATTTAAAAAATAAACTAGTTTGGTACCAAACAATCTACTAACTTAACTATTTTTGATTGTATTTTCGGTAAAAATTGATAATTAAAAATGGACGGAAAATTATTTTCCTGACGAATACAATTGTACAGTCCTAAATTAAGGTGAATTAATGAAAACAAACATGATAATAATTATTTCTTACTGACATTTGATTTAAAAAGTATGTCGGTTATCTAATGCAAATACACGAAGAGAGTCAAGGTCATTTGATTAACATTTTTGCACTACATAATAATATAAATTAGGTTATGTTTTGAAAACAAAATTTAATTATCTTGACTTATCAATATCATTAGATGTTATACAGTCATGTATTAACAAGAATGTTAAACAACACAATTTATCACCTGAATTATATCTACGTTTCAGTTTTATACACAAGATACTGTCATACATACTGACATTTGGCTGATCTAAGTTTTTTTTGTGAAAGTTGTAACTTGAAGAAATTAAAAACACATTATAATTCAGAATAATTCATCCAAATGAAGATGCATAGATCTATTTTTGTGGATACCTGGCATGGTGTAACTTAATATCTTTTATCTTGGTGTCTATTTTTGAGGATGCCTGGCACGGTATAACTATTTCTTTTATCTTGGTGTCTTATTTTTGTGGATTATACCTGGCATGTTGTAACTATATATTTTGGTGTACAATATAGAATTACCCACATTATTCCCAAGATACCGAAAAGGCAAATATATTTGAATAGCATTCAGATTCCTTGAATTTATCTGAAACAGGAAGTAGATACATTATGTATCAAGGATTTGATATACTTGATAAATCATAGTCATATCTTAATGTGAAACAGGGGCTTGTATTTATTGTGATATTTACACTGTACATTTTGAGCAAACTAAGTTTTCCTTTGCCGTTTGGTGTTTGGTGTCAAATCTGCATGATTTATGTCATTATACATGTATTTGTAGTGAAATATATAGACGTAAAACATTCACCTTAAGTAAATCAAAAGTTTATTTGAATATTTTGATAATTTGAGGATGCTGAATTTACAAAGTAATGACATTAAAAAAGTATTTGCCCTGAGTGCCGTAAGTTGAGGTATACCTAAATAAGGTTATTGTGGTTTAAATTTCTAGTCAGTAAATAATATCATATAAATACAAATTAATAAATCTTCATATTTAATTAAGGGTCTTTTCATTTTTTACCTGGGAAGGGGGGCTGGTCATTTTGAAATCAAACATATAAAATGATCCCCCATAATATTTCACTATTTTTATATTATCACCCCCTTAAAAACATTTAAAAAATGTGATCCCCCTCTATTAAACATGCAAAACACTTACCTTTGACACACATGATATACTTGAAGATTCAAAAGTTCACAAATGTTTCCTTAGAGATAAAATTGATCCCCCCACTTTGAATTTATAAAAAAATTTGAACCCCCTTACATTTTGACCATCCCCATTCCCAGGTAAAAAATGATAAGTTTCTTACTGGTAAATACTTTTTTTTGTATTTTATGGTGAACACAAGCATGACAAGTATTTTCATTTTAATGAGGTTTCCGGTGGCTTAGAAATGAATTCAGGTCAATTTCATTCATGAAAAATTTAAATGAGAGTCAAGTATATATATGCGCTCTTCACTTTAAAGGATCTGACAACACTGGTACATTCTATTTTCTGTTTTATCATTATCAAATCAACCAATGAAATTGTTACCTCTTAATTTTGAAGGTACCTTAATGATAAAACCTGAGGATCCGGAAAATATCTACACAACAGAGAGAGAAAGCACATGTAGTGTTATCAGATCCATGTAAGTCAAGCTTGGACACAGGATCTTTTTTTAGATTGATTATTATCAGACTTAAGATTTCTATAACAGAAATAAAGATCTTCAATTGTGAATACAAAGTCCAGTGTGTGAAGTATAATCATACTAGGTTCATCTTACATCTGTTATGTGTCCAGACTTCAGGGTCTATAAAAAACACAAACCACATTTCCAAAAGAATTGTCTGTTGTATTATCCTTAAGAAGTCCATACAGGCTGAAAAATGGACCCTAAGTATCTTTACTAGAAGATTTTATATAAGGGTCTATGAAAAACAGATCGCACATCTCCAATAGAATTGTCTGTTGTACTATCCTTTAAAAGTCCAAACTAGCTGAAAAATGGACTCTTGGTATTTTTATTATAGGACTGGACATCTTCACCGGACTTTTGTGTTAAAGTAATGATGTAGTAAACTCATTGTCTACAGAGTTCAAATAGTTTGATAAATGGACTTCAGGTATGTTTTCCAGAAAACTTATTGACATATTCACATGACTTTAGTGTTGAAATAATAATGTCATTGATGTAGTAAACTCATTGTCTACAGAGTTCAAATAGTTTGATAAATGGACTTCAGGTATGTTTTCCAGAAAACTTATTGACATATTCACATGACTTTAGTGTTGAAATAATAATGTCATTGATGTAGTAAACTCATTGTCTACAGAGTTCAAATAGTTTGATAAATGGACTTCAGGTATGTTTTCCAGAAAACTTATTGACATATTCACATGACTTTAGTGTTGAAAGAAATAATGTCATTGATGTAGTAAACTCATTGTCTACAGAGTTCAAATAGTTTGATAAATGGACTTCAGGTATGTTTTCCAGAAAACTTATTGACATATTCACATGACTTTAGTGTTGAAATAATAATGTCATTGATGTAGTAAACTCATTGTCTACAGAGTTCAAATAGTTTGATAAATGGACTTCAGGTATGTTTTCCAGAAAACTTATTGACATATTCACATGACTTTAGTGTTGAAATAATAATGTCATTGATGTAGTAAACTCATTGTCTACAGAGTTCAAATAGTTTGATAAATGGACTTCAGGTATGTTTTCCAGAAAACTTATTGACATATTCACATGACTTTAGTGTTGAAATAATAATGTCATTGATGTAGTAAACTCATTGTCTACAGAGTTCAAATAGTTTGATAAATGGACTTCAGGTATGTTTTCCAGAAAACTTATTGACATATTCACATGACTTTAGTGTTGAAATAATAATGTCATTGATGTAGTAAACTCATTGTCTACAGAGTTCAAATAGTTTGATAAATGGACTTCAGGTATGTTTTCCAGAAGACTTATTGACATATTCACATGACTTTAGTGTTGAAATAATAATGTCATTGATGTAGTAAACTCATTGTCTACAGAGTTCAAATAGTTTGATAAATGGACTTCAGGTATGTTTTCCAGAAGACTTATTGACATATTCACATGACTTTAGTGTTGAAATAATAATGTCATTGATGTAGTAAACTCCTTATTTAAAAAGTTCAAACAGTTTGATAAATGGACTTCTGGTATCTTTACCAGAGCACCCGACATCTCATTCTCTGCACGTAACTTGTGTTTGCAGTAAACTCCCAATAGAGTAAAAATAGTATGGACTTCAAGTTCCCGCACTAGGAGACTGTAGATCTTCAATAGAGTTCTGTGTTTGTAGGATACTCTTTATACTTTCTGACAGTTTTTCATGAGCAATACCGGCATCTTTTGGTGAAGGTGGCGTAGAAAATATTGTCATGGATTGAAGAGCCATTCTTGACTGAAAAAAAAATAAGAATGACATCATTTCTAATATAAATACAACAAAAGTGTAAATAATGTTGCTAAAATATATAACTACATTTTGTAATTACATGTACATTGTAGTTTTCAGAAAAAGTTGTTTTTTTTTTGCTTCAGAACTTCATGAAATGATTTTAATTCTGACACAAAAATTAACCAAGGCCTTAGCTAGCTATAGGGTTCTAATTTTTTTTTTATATAATGGCAATTTCTTGTCTTAATTTTTAAATTGACAATCTTGAAAATAAACTACAACTGGCACAAACCTTACAACAAATGTCAAGGCCTGTAAAATTTTCCTGAAAAGAGCTACAAAAAGTGTAGTATAAAGGCCATAGTTTAACCCCCCCCCCACATTCTGTATGTGCCTGTAATTCAGTGGTTGTCATTTGTTGCTGTATATCATATTTGTTTTTCATTCATTATTTTGTACACAAATCAGGCCGTTAGTATTCTCGTTTGCATTGTTTTACATTTGTCATTTCAGGGCCTTTTATAGCTGACTATGCGGTATGGGTTTTACTCATTGTTGAAGTCCGTACGGTGACCTATAGTTGTTAATCTCTTTGTCTTTTGGTCTCTTATGGAGAGTTGTCTCATTAGCAATCATACCACATCTTCTTATTTTTATACTTACAAGCCATATATATAAATCTAAAGAAATAGGATGACAAACTGATTTTTGTGAAGATTGAGTTATAGGTCAGGTTCTCATTCTCTTACTAATTGCACTAAGTCTTTGCATATATACATTTTTGTGCAATGTATGCTTCGGTCAACAGCTGTTGTAAATAATACCTACTCATGGGAAACAATAAGAAGGGGGCCCAGTGCCAAGGCATATGCAGTTGTGTATACCACTTGTAATACTATTTAATCATATGACCCTCCAATTAACAAATCAATAAATGCTTTTAAATATGTCATAAGTAATAACCTGGGAAAATAAATTAATAATACAAATGTCAAATGATGTTGAAAGTTTCTATTCTTGACCCTTTTGATAAATAAAAGCAAAAGTACAAGACGTTCTGATTGATAGTTAACGGCAACCCTACAGTTTTATCACAGGCACTTGTCTATATTGGCTCTTCTTTCTATTAATAGAAAGGTCGAATATATCCATATGAGCACTTCTATCAATGGGAATGTCGAATATCCATATTAGCACTTATTTTTATCAATGGGAAGGTGGAATATTCATCTTGGCAATATGGATAGTCCACCTTCTCATTGATATTAACAAGTGCCTGTGAGTTTTATGGGATTTTTAGTAATCTACGGTTGTCTTTAATTGCTTACATCCACTTCAATTTAACTTTGGTTGATAGTTGTCTCATCGGCAATCATACCACATCTCCTTATTTTTATAATGTTAGGGAATGCTGGGAACGAGGTTACAAAGCATGCCTGCAACTTTTCAAAATATCCATGGGGGATTTTAAGCGTAAGAGGACCAAATGCTCCTCTTATATTGTCATAAGTGTTTTTAATCAGCTACTATATTGTTAGAATGAGTATGTATGTGTATAAAAACCCTTTTAACTCGTGTGAATGCCTGTTTTGAGGAGTTCAGTTCATATAATAAAGAATTTTAAAATTCAGGTCAACAGCTCTCATCATTGCTTATGGGGGATATCCCCCATAAATCAGGATAGTTGGCAGGTCTGTCAAAGTGAGGGTGATAGCATCATAATAGTGGTCAGGATTAGAACTTTACCAATCTTGGGTAATATATTATACATATATATGTCTCTGACAGTAAATAATGTACATGTTTCATGTAGACATCTGTGTGATACTGTGCATATTTAATTCAATGTCTGTACCAAGTCCTTTTAATATTACATTTTTATCATTGTTTATCCCTAATAGTAAAAATAAATTCTGACAAGCTGCCAGACACAAGACTAATTGTGAATGTTAAAACTAAAATATTTAACATGATAGATTGTTAGTGGCAAGTCTCCCTTCATTCCAAATTTATTTTAATACCCATATGCATCTATTCATTAGTTAATAGAAACACCTGTTGTAAAATTATAATTTATAGCAGGTATAATAAATTATCAAGAGTACAACCTAGACATAATGTATTTATTTCCCTGTAACTCACAGCGTCTAACAAATGAAGAGGGGGTGGACAGGGGGTACCCTTCTCCCACCTCATACTTTTAGAATCTTTTTTTCTCTCCCACCTCCCTCAAAAGCTGTCCACCCCCTCAATGAAACTAACCAATTAAACAAAGGGCTATAATTCGAGGAAATATTAAAATACAGTAATATAGATTTCTAATACGCTGGGAATAAAAATAATCAATGTTACTCCCACTTAAACAGGAATCGATATCTACATAAACATAGACCTACATTTTTATGACAATGCAGTGTACACTGAATATATATCAAATTATTTATTGGTGTAAAATCTAAATATGGATTGTGTTACAATTTGTACCAATGACAATATTTACAAACATACAAAATTCTAAGTTAACAAACATTCATATTATATAAGTGTATATACAGTATGTTTTAGCTAGGAATTAAGGGCAGAGGTTAATGTCATTTAAACCAGTTTTAACCTATATGAATGTGGATCAAATTTTAGTAAAGGCGTTTTAAGCTATTAGTTCAAAGGGCAGAGGGGCACAGTTTTCAGTTGAAGCACATGTGTGTTTTACAAGTTATTTGTACAATGTAAATAAAAAATCGATATTATTGAATAGAATTTTATTTTTGTTGGATTTATATTATTTACAGGTTGTAAAAAGTTCTTTTCATGTGATAGTTACATTTTAAACAAAACTGCATAGGGAGCTGTGACTCACTATTTTGGGTCATTTTCACCATTGTTCACCCTGTTTTTCGCAAATTTATTTCAGTTCTACTCTTCCGGCCAGGGTATTCAAATACATGGTTAACATGGTTATTATAATAATTTGACTCTTCACAGTCTTATGCAATGGTTAACATGGTTATATAATTTGACTCTTCACAGTCTTATACAATGGTTAACATGGTTATATAATTTGACTCTTCCATATTAGTATGGTACTTTCCTACTCTTTATTTTTACTTTAAAAATTTACAAGAAATTTATACCATTTCATCGTGACAAGCATAACAAGCTATATATTCATGTACATGTACAGTATTGACACTAATGGAGTGTATAAACAAATTTATCAATTCTAATTAGCACAATAGTCATAATTACAATTCTGTCAACTAATGATAATAATGCTAACAAGAATATCCAAATCATTTAACTAAATCATGTACATGTAATTAACTCAACTTGAACTTGTCACTTGATAAACCAATATCTCTAAATTCATGACATCAAAATTAATTGATTTAGTCAAAGTCTATATACAAAAATTGTTAAAAGCCAAAAAAAGTCCTCATAAATTACATGTACATGTAACAGCAGCAATACTACATGAACATGTCTGAATAAATATTAAACATACATGTACATTTATTCCTCTTAATTTCTTGCCAATTAATCCATTTCCTGACTTAATTGATTTAAAAAAAAAAAATTAATCAATTAGTTTATTTGATCTCAATTCTTCTTTTGTTAAAATTCAATTATTTAAAAAGTTGATATTTATTGCTTTCCCACTTGATGCAGTTATAATTGAATTTGCATATATACAGTCATCAGGCTCAACCACAGGCCCACCAGCCCAGGCTTGTAAAAATGCTGTTGGGCCTGTCAAAATCGTCTGGTTTACTCCTGGTTTGCCTACATTTAATAATACCAATTATCTACATGATCTATTTGTAAAAAAAAAACATAAAAGACAAAAAGTTTAATGAGCATACAATTGTTTAGTCTGTTCCAACTTAGGTATATAGTTTATCTGTGTTTTCTATATATTCAGGTATTTTCATTAATATTCAGGTATTTTCATTAATTTGTATTTCCATTTTCATTTGTATAGATAAATAAATCAATATTTTTTAAATAATTTAATAATAATTCAATCGATTCATTTATCAAACAACTAATGACAAAACAATGACATTCAAATATAAAAGTGTCTTAATAATTAATTATTTTGTAAATAATTTACATGATATAAATATACCAATACAAGTTTTCTTTTATCATGTTTATTGCAAACATAATTTATATAATATATGAATCAAATTTATAAATGCATTGCATCTAAGGAAATAAATAAAGCACTATGGTAAAATAAATAATCTGATTGGGCACTATACATGTATGTATAATGATGAAAAATACATTTTACATATATATTTTGAAAGTCATATAACATTACATTCATAAAGTCACAAAACATTATATTCACAAAGTCACAAAACATCATATTCACAAAGTGTCACAAACATCATATTCACAAAGTCATTCAGTTCAAATGAAGAAGATAGGATATAGGATATTTCGTCAGAGTAGTCTATCACGTTGATGAGTTCTTGTTGGTATCTGTCTTTCAGTAGTTGGAGTCTGGTGTCTATGTATCGTGGTCTTTTAAGTGGGTGGGCTCCTCCTGCTGCATACTGGATAATGTTACATTCTGTTAGTACCTGGGTCTTCTTCAGTTACTCCATGATCTCGTAGATGTTGGGGTGGGCATGTTGGAGTCTCTTCTTAATTTTGTTGTGCCATCCTTCCAGGTGATTGGTGGTGTGGGGTCCCTCTGTGTAGTAGCAGTTCCATAGAAATTTGTATCCTTCAACCCAAAACTGTCACGTAATCAGCAAATGATGTTGTAGCAGGTATGTTGTCAGTTTCGCCAATGTCTTCAAAAGTTGTAAGCCAAACATCTTCAACAAGGTGTGGTAGAATGAGAGGTAATACTGCAGCTTGTCCGGATTACCTGATATCACCCCCAGTTTTTGTTGGGTCGTGTTGCTCAATCTTTTGTTTTCCATGTTGTTTTGTGTACTGTTGTTTGTCCTTTTCTTTCTTAGCCATGGCGTTGTCAGTTTATTGGTATCCTTTGCCTCTCTTGTTGTATAAGTCAAGCGATGTCTTCATTTTCTTTATAGTATGACTGTAGTCCACATTTCAGTGCCTTTCGCCAAATACAAAGGATACAGTGGAAGAAGCAGCCTTTTTTGGAAGAATTAATTGGATTTTTTTATATGAAAACTTCAGAACAAAATATTTATTAAAAAAAAAAAAAAAAAAAAAAAAAAAACAGGTGAATAAGTAATAAAATGCTCCGCAGGGCGCAGCTTGATACGACCGCAGAGGTCGAACCCTGAACAGTTGGGGCAAGTATGGACACAACATTCAAGTTTGATGCAGCTCTGAATTTGGATTGTGATTAAATATTTGACACAGCATAGGTTTCTCACACAGAATGAATGTGGTCTAAGAACTTAAAAATTTTAAATTGGACAATCACCTATTATGGTCCAATATCCAAAATCTAAATACATGGTTAGATTCAGCATGGACCCTTTTGACCTCAATGTGGACAAAGTTGATAACGGGGCCCAAAAATCAAAAATCTAAATACATGGTTAGATTCAGCATATCAAAGAACCCCATATATTCAATTTTTGTTGAAATCAAACAAAGTTTAATTTTGGACCCCGATTTGGACCAACTTGAAAACTGGGCCCATAATCAAAAATCTAAATACATGTTTAGATTCAGCATATCAAAGAACCCTAAAAATTCAATTTTTGTTAAAATCAAACTAAGTTTAATTTTGGACCCTTTGGACCTTAATGTAGACCAATTTGAAAACGGAACCAAAAATTAAGAATCTAAATACACGGTTAGATTCGGCATATCAAAGAACCCCAATTATTCAATTTTTGATGAAATCAAACAAAGTTAAATTTTGGACCCTTTGGACCTCAATGTGGACCAATTTAAAAATGGGGCCCAAAATTCAAAAACTTAATACATGGTTAGATTCAGCATATTAAAGAACCCCAAGAATTCAAGAATAAAACCCCATTGAAATTGATCAAGAAATAAGCAATTTATACGAAGTATCTTCTTTTGCACAATACTGTGCAATTGAATATTTCTTGCTATTGCGCAATACTGTACAATTGACAATTTCTTGCTATTGCGCAATATTGTGCTTTTGGATATTTCTTGCTATTGCGCAATACTGTGCAATTGAAGATTTCTTGCTATTGTGCAATACTGTGCAATTGAAAATTTCTTGCTATTGCACAATACTTATTATATAATAATTTACACATCCTGTTTGGTGTGTATCTCCTACCATATCATTATTATTTGCTTTTAAATATTAATCAGAAATAACCAACTTAAAATGGAAAATTTTAAAAGAAAAAAAAAAGAAAAAAAAAAAAACAAAAACAAAAAAAATCCCCCCTCCCAAATTTTTTGAACCCCCTTATGATTCATCACCCCAAACTCAATACCAGCCTTCCCTTTGTGGTATGGTACCTTGCAGTACAATTTCAAAGAGATCCATACACTTGAACACAAGTTATTGTCTGGAAACTAGAAAAATGCTTATTTTTGGCCCCCAATTCCTAAACGTTTAGGGCAATTACCCCCAAACTCAATTCCAGCTTTCCCTTTGTGATATGGAACCTTGTAGTACAATTTCAGAAATATCCAAACACTTACACACAAGTTATTGTCATGAAACTAGAAAAATGCTTGTTTTTTGCCCCTTTTTTTGCCCCTAATTCCTAAAATTTTGAGGCAATTACCCCCAAAATCAATTACAGCCTTCCCTTTGTGATATGGAACCTTGTGGTACAATGTCAGAGAGATCCATACACTTACACACAAGTTATTGTCTGGAAGTTACAAAAATGCTTATTTTTGGCCCCTAATTCCTTAACTGTTGGTACCATAACCCCCAAAATCAATCCCAACCTTTCTTTGGTGGTATTGAACCTTATGGTAAAATTTCATGGAGATCCATTCACTTAAACTAAAGTTAAAGTGCGAAAACCAATGTGTCTTCGGACGACGCCGGACAACGACGACGACGCCAACGTCATACCAATATACAACCAAAAATTTTTTAATTTTTGCGGTCGTATAAAAAGAAATTTAAATGAGACTTGTTTAAATCTTAAGTTTCATTATTTTACTCTTTTTTTTCAGAATGTACAAACAGTGACCAACAATTCAAAATAATTTGTCAATAAATTGTAAAAAAAACATAAAAATATTTTTGTATATTTATCAAATTCAATACATTTTGCTGTTAAATTTATAAAATATTTTTGAACATTTACATGTAGCTTGATTAACATGATTAAATAGTAAAATTAAGTATCTCTTATCTTGAAGACTGTATATATTGTACAATGCAGTCCAGTAAATTCACACTCAGGTTTAAAATAACCCACATAAAATTAGAGATACTAAGTATTTGTATTCATATAATGCATTAGAATTTATATCAAAATCATTTAATGGATAAGGAATGAACTTTCCTTTATATTTTCAAAGTAATTTATTGTACATTGTATACCTGACTGGTTTCTGTTTATCACACATACATTTGTAAATAAGGGGATGGCCATTTGATATTCTTCATGTTCTTGGGAAGGGGGCAGTAGGAGGATTCACAATCCTTTCCATCAGTTGTTAAACAACACATTTTTTCTGCCGCTTAGCAATACAGCAATTACTTCCTGTGTTTTGCTAAGCCAATATTCATTTTCACCATTGTTCACCCAGTTTTTCGCAAATTTATTTCAGTTCTACTTTCCCGGCCAGGGTATTCAAATACAAAAAAAACCCTTCCCTTGAAAAATCAAATGATGGTCCCAAAATTTAGTTTCTGGTGATTTCTAACGGGAATAATCCAATGGTTATACATTTGTATTCTGCTCACTACACTCACACAGAGATACTGATAATCGGAGGGGTAAGGGCTTGAATTAGTTATGTGATTTCATTTTTGTTTACCTGATCACTCCAGCCATGCCCATATTTCCATTCTGTAACATAATGTTCTGAGTTTCTACTTAAAATGTTATAATCAACTGTCTTTCCAATTAGTTTGTTCACATTTTGAATGATTGTCTTTGCCTTTAATGACACAAGAGAACGATTTTTTGCAGGTACTTTCTTATTGTTCACGCGCACAAGGACGTTTCCCATGTCTAATAATTTTCTTTTAACGACTTTAGTGGAGGTTGTTCTTCCTGTCATTAAATCGCCACCCAATAAGACAACTTCTCCTTTTCCAAAATACAAACCCCATTCTGCGAAAATTGTGCGATCAATTTCTATCAAATCACCCGGACGTGCATGTAAACATTCCGGCTTTACAAATGGTCTAAGACCAACTCCTACTGGATATTTTATCGGAGTTTTGCGTTCTAATGTAGACAAAACTTCCATTTCATTCCACAAATTAATCAATGTTCTTTTTGTTTCGTTTTCTTGATAGCGGCAGACGACCCAACACGTAAATAACAACTATGTCAACCTTGTATCTTCAGCTGGAAAACCAATTTTCGTCGGGGATTTTCCACTACAAGTTGTCACGTGATTAGTTATTTTTAAAATCTAAACCTTGGGGTAATAAATGGCAATATTTTAAAGAATGCACAAATTAAATTTATTAATGACTGTCACTCAAATTATAAATTATTAACGTATTTTTCGGTTGATTTATTTTCTAGTTGACGACGAATAACATTGCAATAAAGTTTTTAATAATTTATTTCCCTTTAGTCCCTCTTTTATTTAGGTTAAAGGTACTTCTGGTTTCCGTGTTAATCAAGCGCGTTACAATACCAGTCTAAAAACCAAACCTCCTGTATTGTCCAATCAAAACTTAGAAGAGGAAAATTGTCAATAAGTTCAAGGACGTTTTCGGAACTTCTTTCGATTTTACCATTTACGGACAGAACAAACACCATGAGTGATAATATGTTGGTTATTGAAAATTTTATAAATGGGGAATTTGTTCCTACAAAGTCACATATTGACAGTTTTGATCCATCAACAGGCTCAATTTGGGCAAAGATTCCTGACAGTGATGAAACAGACGTAAATAAAGCCGTAGATGCAGCGAAGGAAGCTTTCCTAAAGTAGGTCAAAGTCAAAAAGTTTTATTAATTGACTGATATTTAATAAAATTTCTATGCTGCTGTGCATAGTTGTGTACTGCTGCATGACCACAGGGCAGGCAAAATTTATTGCTTAGGATGGAACACAGTGCCTCATAATGGATGCTAAAACAATCAGCTCTTTGATCATGTTGATCTGTAGGAATTTGATACTAGTACAGTATATGTTCCTAATTTTTTTGGTTTGATGGTACATGTATTGTGAAAATACCTGGATGGTACACATACCAGCGGGACTGGAACCCTCAATCTCAGGATCTAAAGGCACTGCTCTATAACTGATTGAGCCAAGGAAGATAATACCTAGCTCAACCAGTTAAATAGCTGCGGAATCATAGCTCTTAGGTCCTTCTGATATTTTTTGACAATTTGCGGACCATAGATAGACTATGGTCTGCACAAATCAGAAAACATAAAAGGGACTATTAGAGTTAGTGCCGCAGCTAGAATACCTTAATATCTCCAGCTATACAACAGTCAGGGGACTTACTTAAATGAGTGATTTTCTAAATCACTGATTCAAGTAACATTATGTCCATAAAGGTTGGAAGTAAGAGTTGTCTTTCTTTAATAATCACCTATTTAAGTAGTACAAATTAATCACTAGACTAAGTGATTTAATTTTATTGTAGCTTTAAATATAGAATACTAATGATCCAGGGACTAATTATGTTGCTAAAATTATCAGAACCAACATCTGTGTTGATAGGATGACTGGGTCATGTCAGGTGATGACCTTGTACTAAATCTAGGATAATGACATAAAAATCACTTGTTTAAGTATTATACATGTACCTCAATTTCCTTCCAAAAAATCACTTCTTTAAGTATCATTATTTTTATAACCCCCACTAATTTCAACACCCCCGAACAGTAGAATTTTATTACATAATCTATAAGATGAAACCTTGAATTTTACAGGAAAAATACTCCCACTGCTGGGAAAAATCTGTGAAGAATGTATCAGTTCATTATGTAAAGCCATTTTTATAGCATTTTTTCAACTAAAATAGAATTTGCAGCTAAATGATTGCATCAAAGGCATAAACTTTGCTGCTTAAAAGAAGCAAAAAAATCATTTTTTTTCAATTTTACTAATGAAAAGATATTATCTAAACCTATGTGTTTAAAATTTTGGTAAAACTACAAAATCACAATTTGTGACAAAAATTCGAATTTGCTACTTAAATAAGTGATTTAAAAATCACTTATTTCAATAAGTCCCCTGACTGTACAACACTCTTCAGCCTTTTCTTTTTTCGTCCTGCGTACCATCCATCCTAGCAGCTCACAGGTCCACTTATGTACAACCACAAGTCTTTCACTCAGAAATCCTCTGGCCTGATCCTTGCATGTCACCCAGACATGTCACAGTCATCTAATGACCTGGACAAACCTCATGACCATATCTAACTGGCAGGCACTTACAGATACTCATATGTACCAGTTTAGTTGCTCGCAGAGCCAATATTGTAAAAATATCTGGATGGTACCAGTGGGATTCAAACCTTCAATTTCTGGATCTGAAGGCAGTGCTCTTTCAGATTGAGCCAAAAAAGATTTTCCTGTACTTAACCAGCTAGACTACCTTTATATCTCCAATACAACAATACCCAGCCTAGTCAAACCAACAACTTTTAAACTTGTATCAGTCAGAAATACAGTATTTAGTAGTATGAAAGACTGGTCATTTCAAAGTAGATATGAGAAGATATCTCTAAAGATAAAAGATACAACAGAGCAGAATAGCAAGAAATATATGAGCATGATGTTGATAAGTGAATTAAAAAGTTTATTAAGTTCAAATTAACTTTTGCATCAGTACATCAATATTGGATTATTTCAGTTATTGGTAACATAACTGATAATAAACGTTGACAAAGACATAGACATGTTTTAATAAGCTAATCATTGTGTCCTGAGTAGAACAACTTTACAATCATTCATAACTAAATAAACAAATAAAGTTCATCTTAAGTAAACAAAACATGATTTTTATAATTAAATATTAAACCAGAGACACATATATATATATATATATATATAAATATATATGATCCTGATTAACCATAATAAAACAGACAAAAAAAAAACCTACAAATTCTTTAGTTTTTGGGCATCTCTTCCTGGGGAAAGGGAGATAACTCCTACTCAAAAGTAGCATTGCCTAGTTAACAACTTTTAGCTTTCAAAGTTTATAGATCATATGAGTTAATAGTTACATCACTAGTAGTAGATTTAATGGCTATTATATTAATTACAGATGGTCATCAACACCAGTGCAGGAACGTTCACGAATCATGATAAAAATAGCAGACCGTTTAGAATCACAACTACAGTCCTTTGCCGAGCAAGAATCTCGTGATCAAGGAAAACCAATCTGGTTGGCTAAAGCTGTTGACATACCTAGAGCTGTTCACAACCTGAGGACATTTGCAACCAGTATATTACATGATACAAACAAGTAAGGATCAAATCTAATTGTACAGGGCCACAAAGATATTCTTTTTCAAATGTTGATTGAATCAAAGTGAAACAGATGGATTTCTGGTGTATAGCATGTATAGTGAATACATGTAGGATATGTCCACAATATACAAAACCTGCTTGATCCTGGGCATGTCCAGTAAAATCCAAAACTTTCTTGACCCTAGGACATGTTTAGTAAAATAGAAAACTTGCTTGACCCTAGTACATGTTTAGTAACATACACAACTTGCTCAAGACCTTACAGCTAGGACATGCTTAATAACACACACAATCTGCTTTACCCTAGGACATGTCGAGTAAAATATATAATCTGTATGACCCTAGGATATTTCCAGTAAAATAAAAAACTTGCTTGACTCTAAGACATGTTTAGTAACATACAAAACTTGCTTGACCCTAGGACATGTCCAGTAAAAAACAAAACTTGCCTGACCCCATGACATGTTAAGTAACATACAAAACTTGCTTGACCCTAGGACATGTCCAGTAAAATACAAAATCTGCTGAGATATAGTACTTTTAATGCTGTGTTTATCTTGACAGTTGCCAGATTGCCTCCATGTGAAATCTCATATCTCACATCTATGGTCAATCTATAAGAGACAGCAGCTTATCTCAACATGAACGGTACACATTGTTACTCATTGATTATGGCTTCCCTATGAAAATAAGAAGATGTGTTATTGCCAATGAGACAACTCTCAACCAGAAGCTAGTATCTAAAGGTCACCCTACCGTCTTCAACAATGAGCAAATCCCATACCACAAGGCAAGCTATTACAGGCTCCTGACTTGGGACAGGCACATACAGAATGTGGCGGGTATAACATGTTTGATACATGACATATGTCTTAGAATGAAGATATGAGGAATAACACATGAATGATAAATAAAAGTCCATATGTACATGATGTATATGATATTGTTAAGTAATTAGTATGTCCCTATGTACATGATGTATATGATATTGTTAAGTAATTAGTATGTCCCTATGTACATGATGTATATGATATTGTTAAGTAATTAGTATGTCCCTATGTACATAAGATAATTCTGGAATAAGATTCATATGGTAAACTCCAGCTTCAGCATGTGTCCAGACAAAATATTTGGAAAGGAAAAAAAAAACAATGTAAAAAAAAAAATAGACCAACATACATGTAACCAAAAGAAAAGGGTAACCTGTAAGATCTGTGAACAAAATTGTAAGGTTTTTCTTTTAAATCAGGACTATGACTGCTTTACTCTGTATAATTTGTATTTCCAGTAACTACATGAACTAACTCAGTCCAATGAGATTTACTGTTTATAACTGTCCATTGAGATTTACTGTTATTTATACTGTCCATTGAGATTTACTGTTATTTATTACTGTCCATTGAGATTTACTGTTATTTATTACTGTCCAATGAGATTTACTGTTATTTATAACTGTCTAATGAGATTTACTGTTATTTATAACTGTTCAATGAGATTTACTATTTACTGTTATTTATTACTGTCCAATGAGATTTACTGTTATTTATTACTGTCAATGAGATTTACTGTTATTTATTACTGTCAATGAGAATTACTGTTATTTATTACTGTCCAATGAGATTTACTGTTATTTATTACTGTCCAATGAGATTTACTGTTATTACTTCAGGTCATCAGTTATGGATGGAATTGATGCTTTTAATTACACTATCAAACAACCTGTGGGCGTCGCAGGTCTGATCAGTCCTTGGAATCTTCCATTGTATCTACTGACATTTAAACTTGCCCCAGCCATCGCAGCAGGAAACACAGTCGTTGCCAAACCAAGTGAAATGACATCAGTCACAGCATGGATGCTAGCTAAAATTTTTAATGAATGTGGTAAGTTAACAAAATTATTAAAATGATTGTGGTAATGTTTATGGCCACTCAGCAAAGTTGTCTGGACTGAGGGGCCATATAGTTTTACCCTTATCCATCATTCTGTCATTCTGTCATTCTGTCAGTCGGTCATTCCGTCATTCTGTCATTCCGTCATTCTATCATTGCGCAACAAACAGTTATACTGACATTTTTTCTAAATGCCCTCACATGTTGAACTGATTTTTTATTTGTGAGTCTACTATGATGAGTTACAGATGGAGTTTGTTTGGTTCCCTCTCTGATGATTTTTGCCAAAATTATGGGCTTTGGACTTTGAAAATTCATGAAAATAGCAGGTATACCAATTTTTTTTCTAAACGCCTTCACATATTGAGCTGATTTTTAGTATGTGAGTCTACTATGATGGGTTAAAGATCAAGTTCTCGTTTGTTTCTGCTCCACTGATATTTGCCGAAATTACGGGCATTTGACTTCGAAAATTTCATGAAAATAGCTGTTATACAGACCTTTTTCTAAAAGCCTTCCTATAATGAGCTGATTTTTAGTATTTGAATCTACTATAATGATTTACAGATCAAGTTAACGTTTGGTTCTGCTCTGCTGATATTTGCTGAAACAAAGGGCTTTGGACTTGCAACATTTTGTGAAAATAACAGTTATATTGACTTTTTTCTAAATGCCTTCACATATCATGCATATTGAGCTGAATTTTAGTAGGTGAGTCTACTATGATGAGTTACAGATCAAGTTTATGTTTAGTTTCCGCTCCATTGATATTTGCTGAAATTACAGCTTTCTTGAAAAATAACAGTTATACAGACTTTCATTCTCAGATTTCCACTCCTAAAAATGGCTTCAAGCTTTTTTTGCGAGTGGAGTCATTCATGTCGTTCAGACACATCTAGTTTAATAAGAGTTTTAATGAAAGTGGAAAATTATTTTAAGCATGACATGTTGTTTATGAAACAAACAAAAAAATAAATATGTCCTTTTCATTAAGCATGTTGAAACGCTTTGCCCACAAAAAGTCTGTATTAGACCTAATAAAATTTGTATCCAATATAAAAAGGTATTCCTGGGAATATCTGACTCGAAGTTCATTGATGAAATATTTGTTTTCACAATGCATTAATACTTTAAACATGTTAAACGTGCTGATTTTTGTCGAGCCTGCGACTTTTGTCGCAGAAAGCTCGACATAGGGATAGCGATCCGGCGGCGGCGGCGGCGTTAGCTAACTTCTTAAAAGCTTTATATTTTAGAAGATGGAAGACCTGGATGCTTCATACTTTGTATATGGATGCCTCATGTTACGAAGTTTCCGTCAGTCACATGTCCAATGTCCTTGACCTCATTTTCATGGTTCAGTGACTACTTGAAAAAAAAGTTCAGATTTTTTGTAATGTTAAATTCTCTCTTATTATAAGTAATAGGATAACTATATTTGGTATGTGCGTACCTTGCAAGGTCCTCATGCCCGTCAGACAGTTTTCACTTGACCTCGACCTCATTTCATGGATCAGTGAACAAGGTTAAGTTTTCGTGGTCAAGTCCATATCTCAGATACTATAAGCAATAGGTCTAGTATATTCGGTGTATGGAAGGACTGTAAGGTGTACATGTCCAACTGGCAGGTGTCATCTGACCTTGACCTCATTTTCATGGTTCAGTGGTTATAGTTAAGTTTTTGTGTTTTGGTCTGTTTTTCTTATACTGTATGCAATAGGTCTACTATATTAGGTGTATGGAATGATTGTAAGGTGTACATGTCTAGCTGGCAGGTGTCATCTGACCTTGACCTCATTTTCATGGTTCAGTGGTCAAAGTTAAGTTTTTGTGTTTTGGTCTTTTTTTCTAATACTGCATACAATAGGTCAGCTATATTTGATGTATGGAATGATTGTAAGGTGTACATGTCTAGCTGGCAGGTGTCATCTTACCTTGACCTCATTTTCATGGTTCAGTGGTCAAAGTTAAGTTTTTGAGTTTTGGTCTTTTTTTCTAATACTATATGCAATAGTTCAACTATATTTGGTGTATGGAAATATTTTATGATCTATATGTCAGTCACGCAGGTTTTATTTGACCTTGACCTCATTTTCAAGGTTCATTGCTAAGTGTTAAGTTTTTGTGTTTTCGTCTGTTTTTCTTAAACTATAAGCAATAGGTCAACTATATTTGTTGTATGGAAGAATTGTTAGCTGTACATGCCTGCCTAGCATGGTTCATCTGACCTTGACCTCATTTTCATGGTTCATTGGTCAATGTTTAGTTTACTTGGTTAATGTGAAGTTTATGTGACAGTTGTAATAAAGCTTTATATTTAGGACTATCAACATAATATCAATGATTAGTAAAGAAGGCGAGACATTTCAGGGTGTGCACTCTTGTTTTTATTTAATAGCCATTACCATTTTTTCAAAGTTCTCGTTGACAATCAAGTTTCAGGACACTGACATTGTCACACTAACAACATTTATTGTTGGTTATTAATTCTAACTGGTTATCGAATACCTAATATTCAATTTGTACGAAACAGTTTGTGTAAAAAAATGATTTTCCGTAAGAAAAACTTTATGTTGAAGATCCGAGTGTTCACTCCCGGTTTGGCAATACGGAGATATGCAGTCGAGTCCATACAATTCTTTTCTGATCTATTACATGTATTATCATGATTATGGACAAAAATATAGCAACTTGCAAAATGTAAACATGTGCTTAGGGAATCATATTATAGGACTTCCGAGTTCAAAGTTGACGAAATATAAAAAATGAAAGCCGTAAATTTATAAAATTTCAATACTGTGGATTCATTTATTTTTGTGGTTTCTAATTTTTATGGATTGAGGAAAAATCATATTTTCGTGGATATTTCATTTTGTGAATTTGTTTAAGTCTGCATACAAGCCTACCATGCCTACACGGTATAGAAAATGTTGTATGCTTGTTGAACTTTTTAAATCATTGTTTTTCTATAACCACCGAAATTGGTATCCCATGAATAATAATTAATCAACAGTAATTTGGTAAATTTAATGAAGTATTTAATAAATGTGTTAAATCATGAGATGTTTGCTATCATGTTCATTAAATAATGTTTCATGTTTGACATAAACAGAAAAGAATAGACACAGTAAACCATTGTCCCAACTTACAGCTATGGTTAAACTTTGAAGAACTTTGCATCCCAATGTGGTAAATTTTATAAATATTAAATGAATACTATGTACGCATGGATTTTATTTTCCTGGATACTTATTTTCGTGGATTGAGGAAAAACTGTAATTTGGTGGATAATTTATACTGTGGTTTTGCTAAAGTCTGCCTACACGGCAGCTCCTTAGAAAATTTGTCCTTCTTCAAACCTTTAAATTCGTGGTTAACCTTTAACCTATAACATGTATGAAATACTGTAAATTCAGAAATTATTGCCTGCATTTATTATTGCGATTTTTGAAAAATTAACAAAAATGTGAGTTTAACATGTTTAATCATGTTAATTATTGCGATTGTAGGAAAAGCTACATACAGATATATGAATTTGAAATCAGAATGCGAGTTCTTATTATTGCAATACTCAAGTAGTCGCATTATTCGCATTAATAAAAACCTCTCAATAATTTCTGAATTTACAGCATGTACAGTACACAAAAATTGAAATAATAATGAATCCACAGAAAAGTAAATTTGATAAAATATCCAGAAAATGTATGAAATATTGAAGGAATTAGGTCTATATAATTAGATATGAAATAAATACAGTAAAATTAATATTTGTATAGGACTACCGCCTGGTGTAGTAAATTTAGTATTTGGTGTTGGACCTAAGGCAGGAGAAGCCATTGTAAAGCACCCAGACATTCCTTTAGTATCATTCACTGGTGGAACTGCTACAGCCAAACGTTTGAGGGCGTCTGCAGCACCATTCTGTAAAAAGCTGTCATTAGAGGTAAGTTGTTGTCCACTGGTGGGACTGCTATAGCCAAACGTTTGAGGGCATTGACAGCACCATTCTATAGAAAGCTGTCATTAGAGGTAAGTTGTCGTCCACTGGTGGAACTGCTACAGCCAAATGTTTGAGGGCATCAGCAGCACCATTCTGTAAAAAGCTGTCATTAGAGGTAAGTTGTCGTCCACTGGTGGAACTGCTACAGCCAAATGTTTGAGGGCATCAGCAGCACCATTCTGTAAAAAGCTGTCATTAGAGGTAAGTTGTCCTTCACTGGTAGAACTGCTACAGCCAAACATTTGAGGGTGTTGACAGCACCATTCTGTAAAAAGCTGTCATAAGAGGTAAGTTGTTGTCTACTGGTGGAACTGCTACAGCCAAACGTTTGAGGGCGTCGACAGCACCATTCTGTAAAAAGCTGTCATTAGAGGTCAGTTGTTGTCCACTGGTAGAACTGCTACAGTCAAACGTTTGAGAGAGTCTGCAGCACAATCTGTAAGAAAGCTGTCATTGGAGTTAAGCTGTAGTTCAGTGACCAGTATCTCTACTGTTTAGATTATCACTGGCCCTACACATTTGTATTTGAGGTATAGAATTATTATGTTCAATGACTATTGGTAGTGTTAAGTTTGAAATAATTAATCATAATAAATAAAGCAGGCAAGACATTTCAACTTATGTTGAATAAGATGAGGGGTATTCCAGGAAAATGATTGGGGGAGGGATTGAAGCACTTTTTAGCTCACCTGACCTGAAAGGTCAAGTGAGCTTTTCTCATCACTTTGCGTCCGTCGTCCGTCGTCCTGCGTCCGTCGTCCGTCGTCCGTAAACTTTTACAAAAATCTTCTCCTCTGAAACTACTTGGCCAAATTAAACCAAACTTGGCCACAATCATCATTGGGGTATCTAGTTTTAAAAATGTGTCCGGTGACCCGGCCAACCAACCAAGATGGCAGCCATGGCTAAATATAGAACATAGGGGTAAAATGTAGATTTTGGCTTATATCTCTGAAACCAAAGCATTTAGAGCAAATCTGACATGGGGTAAAATTGTTTATCAGGTCAAGATCTATCTGCCCTGAAATTTTCAGATGAATCTGACAACCCGTTGTTGGGTTGCTGCCCCTGAATTGGTAATTTTAAGGAAATTTTGCCGTTTTTGGTTATTATCTTGAATATTATTATAGATAGAGATAAACTGTAAACAGCAATAATGTTCAGCAAAGTAAGATCTACAATTTAGTCAACTTGACCAAAATAGTCAGTTGACCCCTTAAGGAGTTATTGCCCTTTATAGTCAATTTTTAACCATTTTTCGTAAATTTTTGTAATCTTATACAAAAATCTTCTCCTCTGAAACTACTAAGACAAACTTAACCAAACTTGTCCACAATCATCATTAGGGTATCTAGTTCAAAAAATGTGTCCGATGACCCCACTGGCGAACCAAGATGGCCGACATGGCTAAAAAATAGTACATAGGGTAAAATGCAGTTTTTGGCTCATATCTCTGAAACCAAAGCATTTAGAGCAAATATGACATGGGGGTAAAATTGTTTATCAGGTCAAGATCTATCTGCCCTGAAATTTTCAGACCAATCAGGCAACACGTTGTTGGGTTGCTGCCCCTGAATTGGTAATTTTAAGGAAATTTTGCCGTTTTTGGTTATTATCTTGAATATTATTATAGATAGAGATAAACTGTAAACAGCAATAATGTTCAGCAAAGTAAGATCTACAGTTAAGTCAACTTGACCAAAATGGTCAGTTGACCCCTTAAGGAGTTATTGCCCTTTATAGTCAATTTTTAACCATTTTTCGTAAATTTTTGTAATCTTTTACAAAAATCTTCTCCTCTGAAACTACTAAGACAAATTTAACCAAACTTGTCCACAATCATCATTAGGGTATCTAGTTTTATAAATGTGTCTGATGACCCCGCCCGCGAACCAAGATGGCCGACATGGCTAAAGAATAGTACATAGGGTAAAATGCAGTTTTTGGCTCATATCTCTGAAACCAAAGCATTTAGAGCAAATCTGACAGGATAAAATTGTTCATTAGGTCAAGATCTATCTGCCCTGAAATTTTCAGACCAATCAGGCACCACGTTGTTGGGTTGCTGCCCCTGAATTGGCAATTTTAAGAAAATTTTGCAGCTTTTGGTTATTATCTTGAATATTATTATAGATAGAGATAAACTGTAAACAGCAATAATGTACAGCAAAGTAAGATCTACAAATAAGTCAACATGACCAAAATTGTCAATTGACCCCTTAAGGAGTTATTGCCCTTTATAGTCAATTTTTTACAATTTTCATAAATTTTGTAAATTTTTGTAAATTTTTACAAAATATTTTCCACTGTAACTACTGGGCCAAGTTCATTATAGATAGAGATAATTGTAAGCAGCAAGAATGTTCAGTAAAATAAGATCTACAAACACATCACCATCACCAAAACACAATTTTGTCATGAATCCATCTGTGTCCTTTGTTTAATATGCACATATACCAAGGTGAGCGACACAGGCTCTTTAGAGCCTCTAGTTTTAAACCCTATACCCAGCCAAGTTTTTGTCGATATAAAAATATGGGTGTATTTTAGGGTTCAGAGTTGCCCCGAGCCCATTACACATGTATTATTAATATGAAGAGCCTTCCAACCCTCCCATACAACTTTTCCTGGAATTGCCCTCAAGAATCAAATTCTGTCTGTTAAATATTTATTCTTTTTTATGTATGTGTATAATATTTTTAAAACAAATATTAATGTTTGTATCACAGTTAGGAGGCAAGAATCCAGCAGTGATATTCAACGATGCAGATTTAGACAAATGTATTCCTACAACAGTCAGGTTAGTCAAGGTTTGTCAAATATTTATACCCCCACTTCGAAAGGATGGGGTTTCTGGTTTATGTCTGTCCATCCTTTCTTCTGTGTTTCAATCAGTCAGTCTGTCCATCCTTTCTTCTGTGTTTCAATCAGTCAGTCTGTCCATCCTTTCTTCTGTGTTTCAATCAGTCAGTCTGTCCATCCTTTCTTCTGTGTTTCAATCAGTCAGTCTGTCCATCCTTTCTTCTGTGTTTCAATCAGTCAGTCTGTCTATCCTTTCTTCTGTGTTTCAATCAGTCAGTCTGTCCATCCTTTTTTCTGTTTTTCAATCAGTCAGTCTGTCCATCCTTTTTCTGTGTTTCAATCAGTTAGTCCGTCTAATTAAATTTTTGTCTCACTTTTCTCCCTGGAACCCATGGCCAAATCAGAGTTCTTGAAAGAAGGAGGTATGCGTACAGATTGTCAGTTTTTTGCTGCGCATTGATATTGTAAAATATCAGCCGATAGCCACAATGTAAACCTTTTTGGCGAGTAAGCACATCAAAGGAACAAAAAAGCTTTACATCGTTTCAAGCTTCTGACATTTTATGATATTTTAAGCAGAAAATTAGATAGTCTGTTCATCATGCTATTTCTGGTCTTTTTTCCCTTCCTTAGACAGTTTTACAATCTATGCTGATAAGTTCTGCTCAAGTTTCAAAACCATGATATGATAATTACAAATGGACTTTGAGCAGGGTGATTAAGGCAAAGGGAAGGACAATATGCGGTTTATTTGGCAGTTGAAATTGCACAAATATTGAAATTATTGAAGACTCATAAATTAGGTTAATTTTGTCACACTAATGTTTTATGTTGTGGTTGATCATATTATTGGTTATGCACTACTGTAAAAAAAAATTTCCTTGAAGACAGGTTTGGCAAAATTAAAACCTCCCATTTTAGATTGTGATTGCATTATACACATGTTATATTTATACAGCATTACCTGAAATCGTAATAATTAATTTCACATTTTCATCTATTTATTAATAAATGAAGACCAATAATTTCTGAATTTACAGTATATAACCATGATGACTGGTGATTGTTATGGCTATGGTGTATGATTATATTTTCTATTTAAACAGGTCAAGTTTTATAAACCAGGGAGAAATCTGTTTGTGTACCAGTAGGATTTATGTACAGAGAGAGCTGTATCCCAGATTCCTCGAGAGATTCTCTGAAGAATCCAGGTACAATAGAGGTGAATGAAGGTGACTGTACAGTGAGAAGCAAAACACCCCAGTGGCAAATTCAGAGGGGTTTTCCTGGGGTTGGAACCCCCTTTTTGTTTGACAACTAATGCGGTTGTAAGGGGACATGTGGTTGGAACCCCCTTATTATATGACTTGCATGTGTTGGAACCCCCCTTTTAGAAATGGCTGGATTCTCGCCTTCACCCCAATATTATAATTAGGGCCCCGCCGAATGGCAGCTGCCCTATAGTGATCAGTCTGTCCGTCCGTCCGTCCGTCTGTCCGTAACAAATCGTGTCCGCTCTATATCTTGAGAACCGTTATTATTTCAAAGTTTATACTTGATATGTATATTAACCAACACCAGAGGGTGTGTCATAATGTATGTACAACTTCCTAGGTCAAAGGTCAAGGTCAAAAACTTTGGTTTAAGTTGACAACCCCATGTCCTATGGTAAAGAACGTGTCCGCTCTATATCTTGAGAACCGTTATGAACCGTTATTATATACTTGATATGTATATAAACCAACATCAGAGGGTGTGTCATAATTTATGTACAACTTCCTAGGTCAAAGGTCAAGGTCAAAAACTTTGGTTTCATTTGACAACCCCACATCCAATGATAAAGATACAAATTTTTTACCACACATTATTCACAGCAGGGCCCACACAGATGGCTCCCATATCAATGATATCTAGTTCAAAATATATCTGTCAACTATAGGGTACTTCTAAGAATAGCTCAACACTAACTCTTTGTTTGATATCTGGTACCAGATCAAAATATGGTTGGGCAAGTAAATGCCTTATCTGATGGGATAAAAGAAATACATTACATTCCAATTTTATAAAAAATGCAAAGAGTTAAATTCAGACATTAATGATAATGATAAATGCACAGACTGTATATATAAAGATAAGAAGATGTGGTGTAATTGCCAATGAAACAACTCTCCATTAGAGACCAAATGAAACAGAAGTTAACAACTATAGGTCACCATATGGATTTCAACAATGAACAAAACCTATACTGCATAGTCAGTTATAAAAGGCCTCGAAATGACAAATTTAAAACAATTCAAATGAGAAAATGAGAAAACTAACACTAACTAAGGTATGTTTACCTAGATATTGTATCTTTATCTGTGTCATTGGTTTGCACTTTGTCATATATACTGCATATCTCTTTTTACTCTTTTGTCCTGAATATGCAGGAAATATTTGAAAGCAACAATCAATCTATTAGTCTTCTTTGACTCACCCATATTAAGTTCTGAACATGTATTTTGCCATTGTTGGCCAGGTTGGACAAATTCCAAAACTGGCTTATGGTATGGGGATGTTTCTAAAATGATAACCTAATTTGTGTAATCAATTCTTCCTACAGTTTTCAACTAAGTTTCCTGAAATTTCACAGGAAGATTGCAAACATGTTGTAGTTGTGCACCTGTTATTATGGAATTGTTTGAGGATTTTTTTCTCATTTTTCCAGACTTGGGAACTTAAGTCATTTTCAGCAAAATTTATGAAAGAGGGTACACGTTTTTTGTGTAATCAACTCCTCGTACATTTTTCAACCTATATCCCTAAAACTTCAGATCACAGGAGGATTGCACATAATTATGTTGAAGTTGTGCACCTGCTATTATGGAATTATTTGAAGAATTTTACATTTCATATTTCAAATATTTAAATGTTCATCCAGTGTTTAAGAAACACATGCGCAAACAGCCATTTGAGTCTGATCTATTTTTTTGATTATAGGAAGCTAGTTGTTGGAGACCCTAAAGATGACAAGTCTATCCTTGGTTCATTGAGTCTGATCTATTGTTTTGTATTATAGGAAGCTAGTTGTTGGAGATCCTAAAGATGACAAGTCTATCCTTGGTCCTTTGAGTCTGATCTATTGTTTAGTATTATAGGAAGCTAGTTGTTGGAGATCCTAAAGATAACAAGTCTATCCTTGGTTCATTGAGTCTGATCTATTGTTTTGTATTATAGGAAGCTAGTTGTTTGAGATCCTAAAGATGACAAGTCTATCCTTGGTCCTTTGAGTCTGATCTATTGTTTTGTATTATAGGAAGCTAGTTGTTGGAGATCCTAAAGATGACAAGTCTATCCTTGGTTCATTGAGTCTGATTTATTGTTTTGTATTATAGGAAGCTAGTTGTTGGAGATCCTAAAGATGACAAGTCTATCCTTGGTCCTTTGAGTCTGATCTATTGTTTTGTATTATAGTAAGCTAGTTGTTGGAGATCCTAAAGATGACAAGTCTATCCTTGGTTCATTGAGTCTGATCTATTGTTTTGTATTAAAGGAAGCTATTTGTTGGAGATCCTAAAGATGACAAGTCTATCCTTGGTTCATTGAGTCTGATCTATTGTTTTGTATTATAGGATGCTAGTTGTTGGAGATCCTACAGATGACAAGTCTATCCTTGGTTCATTGAGTCTGATCTATTGTTTTGTATTATAGGAAGCTAGTTGTTGGAGATCCTAAAGATGACAAGTCTATCCTTGGTGCATTGATCAGTAAAGAACATTTAGCAAAGGTTAAAGGTTATGTAGAAGTGGCAGAAAAAGAGGGTGCAACAATATTATGTGGAAAAGAGGATATGAATTTACAGGATCAAAATAAACAGGCATGTAGGCTACCTTGGAATTTAATATATGCTTTGAAAAAAATTTAGATTTGAATATTAGCAACATTCTTACTGGTAAATTTTTAATAACTTCTTTGACCAGATTTGAATTATTGTTATTAAGAATTGACTTTAAAAAATGCCCATAGGAGTAAGTTCATATTTTGCCATGACCAAAGTGTTTGAGAAGTTCATCTACATTCATCACTAACCTTTTAACATTTAGATTGTGAGTTGCAATCAAATCCTATCTCCTACTGAAGGTGGGTGGCTCTTAACAGGTACTCTGGCTTCCTCCACCATTAAAAACTGGATGCCATGATATAGCCATGATGTAGCCATGATATAGCCATGAGGTAGCCATGACGTAGCCATGATATAACCATGATGTAGCCATGAGTGCTGAATGTGGTATTAAACACAAACAATCAATCATTCATATTTCTCCAGGGGTCTGATTTCATAGATGTAGTGTTATCGAGGTTATGCTTTAGAAATGATATCATATTATGTACATGATAGGGGCAATTGTTCAGATAATGCCTAAATTCTTATAACATTAAAGAATGTGTAAAATCAGAAAATATATTTTCATTTTGTTTACAGTGTATAATTGTTATTTGTGGGTTATCATTTTCCATTTATTTAGTATGTACAGGTATGTACAGGTAAAAAAATGTTCAACAAAGTACAAATTTTCTTTAGGCTTGTATTCAAACTTTTGCAAAAACCACTAAACCAAAAATCAACGAAAATGCAAGTTTTTCTCAATCCACGAAAATTGGTATCCACGAAAATAAATGAATCCCCAGTAGTTAAAATTTGAAATGTTTTATTATTAAACCCTAGTATGATAAATATAGATTCCATCACTGCATCAAGTGTGTTATGATATTTTTCCACTCGCGAGGCTTGCTGAGCTTTTTAAATGATTAAAATTTAACTGTTGAGAGAGTGGAGAAATATCGTAATACAAGAGTTATAGTGGTGGAATCTGTTTCTCTAATGATTTTAAGACGATTTCTAAACCAAGTTTATCCTTCCTTTTCAAAGGTTTATAGAAAGTTGTGTTCTTTATCTGTGACGTCATCAGGCATGGTCGCCTTTTTTCATGACGTCACAATAGGAAATTCAGAAGAAACCAAGAAAATTTCGACCAATCATTTGCTGAGAACAAAGTTTTCTCAAGAGATGAGAAATATTTTTATCACAACGGTTAAGAAATGTGAAAAAAGCGTGGAAATTTGAGAAAGTATTATTATATAACCTTAGTATGATGAAGTAACACAATTAAAACAAATGCTTTAGGTCTTTAAGATAAACACAGGATGTAGGGATTATCTGTGTGGAGTCTGTGGATCTATAATGCATTAATACAGGACAGAATGTCTAAATATCATCTACAGTACCTACTTGCAAGGAGCAAGAAATCTACCAGTAAAATGACAGAGGTTGTCAGTTACAACAAGTTCTGATGTTAAACCCATCACTATGATGAAAAGTGTCATTAAATCACATTCTACAAACATAAAAGTTTAACTTACATTTAATGAATAAATGATGTTATTTAAGACCTTACGACCATGGAAACCAAAACTCTCAACCTAGTTTTGATCTTTTTTTTTATTGTAGGGATATTTTATGCGACCTACAATAGTCACAGATGTATCTGATGACTCTCGTTTGATCAAGGAAGAAATATTTGGACCTGTTACCTGTGTAATGCCATTTGATAATGAGGAGGAAGTGATACAGAGAGCTAACAATGTCCAGTATGGTCTGTGTGCAACTGTTTGGACAACAAATGCATCAGTATTACATAGAGTGTCTAGGTCATTACAGGTAATACTCTTCAATAAACTCAACGTAGATTCCAGGATGAAAATTGTGTACGTCAGATAAGACTCATCAGTGATGCTAGAATCGAAAAAGTTAAAAAAGCCAAATTAAGTATGGAGTTGAAGAGCATTGAGGACCCAACATTCCAAAGGTTTTGCCAAATACAGCTAAATACAATGTTCAGTATGGTCTATTGTGTGACTCTAAGGACGACAAATGCTACAGTGTTGCATAGAGTGTCTAAGGTATTACATTCCCGAGGGTATCACCAGCCCAGTAGTCAGCACTTCTGTGTTGACATGAATAATCATTGATATGGTCATAATTATAAATTAACTGTTTACAAAGCTTTGTTTTTTTTGGAATACTATTAAAGGCTTATCTACCTCAGGAATAGATTACCTTAGCTGTATTTGGCAAAACTTTTCGGAAATTTGGGGTCCTCAATGCTCTTCAACTTCGTACTTTATTTGGCTTTTTCAACTTTTTTTATTCGAGTGTCACTGATGAGTCTTTTGTAGACGAAACGCGCGTCTGGCGTACAAAATTATAATCCTGGTATCTTTGATGAGTTTATTTACAGAAATCTTTTATTAATAATACTAATATTTTATAAGGTGCTCTGATTATTTAGATGTTTTTTCCAAACATTTGTAATTTATGACATTACAGACAATTGTTGCACAGATTTTACAAATAAAATAGACCACTCTTGGATTTTAAACTCCTACAGATTTTCTATTTTGTTATAAAAAAAATGCATTTTATTAATTCTTAATCTGTTATTTATGCAGTGTAAATCAAAAGTGATATATAGGTAAAGGATGAAATCTGTCATCTGTATCTAGATCAAACATCTATCCTATACTTGTCAATAATTGTTCATTGAGTTCTATAGATATTTAATTGTGTTATAAAGGATCTGCCATGCTATGTATAAACCCAATAGTTAGGTAATATTTTGTCAATCAAGGATGTTTGCTACTCTTGATAATGAGTTTTTGTAAGATACTTGAAATCCTCTAGTTTTATCCATGAACATGATGTAGTGCCAATAAAATTTGCCTTGTAACCCCTTCTTTTCATAATTTTATTACATATAGTTAAAAAAGACATTTTTAAAAATCTTACAAAATCTTTGTTATTTTTTCTTAGTTTTTGAAAGAAAAAAGGTGCCAATGTTAAATGCGTGAAAAATCTAGAGAGAATCATTTCCAGCCAAATTTTATATCCCATTTTTGGAAAGATAAAATGTTTTAAAGAGGTAACCATAATTTTTAGTCCCCTACCGACGAAGTCGAAGAGGACTTTAGGTTTGCACTCGTTCTTGAAGATATTGATTTGATATTTGGTATATAGTTTTATCATGACAAGTTATAGATCAAGTTCGAATTTTGTTCCGGTCTGATGATTTAGTCCAGAGTTTTGGACCATAACTCTGGACCATATCTAATGTTAGAGTACTATGTTAAACCATATTTCTGTACAAAGGGAGATAACGATTTTTTAAACGACATTCTTTGTTAAATTATTTGAAGAATTTTTGACAGGTTTGTTTGTTATTTAGTATAAACTAATTTTCTGAATGCTATATATATAAAAAAAAATTATGAAGAGAAATCCTTTAATTAAATATATATTTCAATACATTACATTGTGTAGATAAAAGTTGTTGACATTTTATAGATAAGTTACAAATCTATATTAGTTTGTGACAAATGAAAAGAAAAAAATATTTGGAACTATTAATTATATCTGATTATAATTTGAAAATAGATATACACTGTATTACATCATTAATAATTTTAGAGAACTATTAATCATATCTAATGTTTTTTTCATCATGCTTATAAGATATTGATTGATAATTGGTATATAGTTTTATCATGACAACGTACAGATCAAGTTCAAATTTTTGTTTCGGTCTAATAATTTTGTGCAGAGTTATGGTCCTTGGACTTGAAAAATTCACTCATATAATCAGTTTTCAACACTGTTTTTAGTCATGATTGAAGATATTGACATGATATTTACTTTTTGTTTACACCATGACAAGTTATAGAACAAGTTAGCATTTTGTTCCAGTATAATGAATTTTTACCCGGTAGGGGACTATGTATTGTCATGCAATACTCTCAGAATGCTTGTTACAATTCATTTGTGCATAATTAAATAATCACGAGAAGTATTGAGAACTACATTTCAGTGTGTATAGATTTAGTGGCTAGCCCGGCTACATTCTGCTGATAAGGCCGAAAGAATTGGAACAAAAATTCCAATCTTTCCAAAAACTGGACGCCATGATGTAGCTGAAACACCAACAAACAATCATGACTTGCTTGCAGAAACGTCAGTCATGGTTAAATGACATTTAAATATGAAGTGTTACTGAAATCTGTTGTATTAGTAAATCATTAAAATTTAAAGTGTTGAATATGAATTGATGTTGTGCAACTCAGTTCAGAACCATTATCTATCTGTGTATAAAGAAAAATATTGAAATTGCAGATTGGAAATTGTCTTCCTAAAAGAGGAGAACATCACACTGATAAACAATCAACAGAAAAGAAAATGTTTAAGAATGAGTGCAAATACTTGTAGATTCACAAAAAAAAAGTGGGCCCATTGTTTTGATAAATAAAAATCACTTGGCTATATAAATAAGATGTGGTATGATTGCCAATGAGACAACTCTCCACCAGAGATTAAGTGACGTAGAAGCTAGCAACTATAGGTCACCATACAGCCTTCAACAATGAGCAAAACTTATACCGCATGCAAGCTATTAAGCCCCGGAAATAAAAAATGTAAAACAATTCAAACAAGAACACAAAAGACCTGATTTATGTAGAATAAAAAAAATTATCAAAAAACAAACATGATATACATCAACAAAAGAAAACCACTGAATTACTGTTGTTATTTAATTTACTTTTTCCCAGGTTGGAACAGTATGGGCTAATTGCTGGCTAGTAAGAGATCTGAATATGCCTTTTGGTGGAATGAAGGATTCTGGGATTGGAAGAGAAGGCACAACAGATTCAATGGAGTTCTTTATGGAACAGAAAAATGTGTGTGTCAAACTGTGAACCACAAAAACTGTGTATGTTAGATTGTGAACCACAAAAAGTAGACAAGTTTGAAAAGCTTGAAAGTGAGATGAACACACTTGTATTCCTGTATATATAACCTCAGAGAAGAAAATCAAAATTATGTGATATGTAAAAAATTTTTTTTTCCAAATTCACAAGACACACTGTGAATTCATAATATTCGTAGGAAAAAATTACTGTGACCATACCTGCCAACCTCTGAAACCTTCAAAGAGGGAGATCTCTCTCTCAGCTATGACAGCTGAAGGGGAGATTTTGCATGAACGACATTTTCAAGCTAAATATATGACCTGTACACTTATTCATCTACAAAACACCAATAAGAGTTAATAAATATATTTTATTTCTTTAATTCATGGTTGTAATCTATACAAGGTGTATTTTTTTCCTTGTTCCTTTTTCAATACCTCCGAGTCTCATAACTCACAACATTCCATATTTTGATTTTTTTGTGAGTCTCACACTAAGTATGCTTTTGAACGTCGTACAGACCACCAGAAGCAACCTAAAGTTGATTGAACATAATGTGCACAATAAATATTCATTGTGCCGAGTGAATTTGGTCGTAAAAATTGAAATTTTTCATCCAATCTGCTTGACATTTGCAGTTATATTTCTGCTTTTTTACACTGCCGCATGGTCCAGAAAAAGACATCTATCTTCTTGTTGGAGTTGACATAGCAGAAATGGTTTTCGATTACTAATAAATCAAACATAGAAACTACTGACCAAAGTTTTCAAATGATCGCCAATTGTTTGTTTCTTTTTATTGACAGTAAAGAAAAATCCCGAGAAATACGATCTCGGGTAATTCCGGGTTAAAATATCTGAAAGCGAGAGATTCTATACTCCTGCGTGGAAGCGGACAGGCAAGCAGGAGATTTCTGGAATTTCGTCGTTTGCAAGGGAGACTCCCGCTCAATACGGGAGGGTTGGCAGGTATGTGTAATTGTGAATTCAGAATTTATTTCGAGGATTTTTTTCATGTGAATATGACTGGATGAGTATTGCAATAATAAGAACTCACATTCTGTTATCTGATACATATATCTGAGTGCAGATTTTCTTGAAATCGCAAAAATTAATCTCACATTTTTGTCCTCTCGTGGATATTTAATTTCATGGTTTTGCCAAAGTTTACATACAAGCCTATAGAAAATTTGATCATTTGAATTCGTTGTTCACCTGTACCCACGAAATACAGGAAAATTGGTATCAGTGTTATAACAGGTATAGGGTCAACATGTTTTCTATGTTGACAGCATTTTGAGACATGAGATTATTTGTTATAACAATTAAACATTCCAAACTGATATACCTTATTTATTTTATTTATTGACAACAGAAGTCTACACATGATAGAGACTAGATTTTCTTTTATCACAGTTTACCATATGCTGTTTGAAGATAAAAATTCCTGTTCTGATGTTAAAGTTGAATGATCAAATATTAACCATGATAATGAGGTCAAGGTCATATGAACCCTGCCAGACAGACATGTACACCTTATGAAACATGAAAATGAGGTCAAGGTCAGATGACACCTGCCAGTTGGACAAATATTATGCTTAAATCCGGAAGAAATAATGTTTGTCTTGCCTGCGACAAAAGTTGCAGAATGTGAGACATAGGGATTACAATCCAGCGGTGGTAACTATTTGTATAAAGCATTATATTTCAGAAGGTAAAAGACCTGGATGCTTCATACCTTGTATGAAGATACCTTATGTTACATAGTTTCTGTCTGTCACATGTCCATTGTCCTTGACCTCATTTTTATGGTTCAGTGACATATTGAATAAAATTTATAGTTTTTTGTCTTGTCACAGTCACAGAAAGCTCGACATAGGGATATTGATCTGGGGGCAGCAGCTTTAACTCATTACTATAAAGCTTTATATTTCAGAAGGTAGAAGACCTGGATGCTTCATACTTTGTATTAAGATACCTTATGTTACGAAGTGTCTGTCTGTCATATGTCCATTGTCTTCATTTTCATGGTTTAGTGACTACTTGAAAAAGATTTTTTTGTGATGTTAATTTCTATTTTTATTTGAGTAATAGGATAACTACATTTGGTATGTGCCTACCTTGCAAGTTAATGTCCTCATGCCTAGCTGTCAGACTGTTTTCTCTTGACCTCGACATAATTATATGGATTAGTGAACAAGGTAAAATTTTTGTGGTCAAGTCCATATATCAGATACTATAAGCAATAGGTCTACTATATTTGGTGTATGTAATGATTGTAAGGTGTACATGTCCAACTGGCAGGTGTCATCTGACCTTGACCTCATTTTCATGTTTCTTAAGGTGTACATGCCTGTCTGGCAGGGTTCATATTACCTTGACCTCATTATCATGGTTAATTGGTCAATGTTGAGATTTTGTGGTTTCATCGGTTTCTCAGGTACTATTAGTGATGGGACCACTATATTTGGTGTATGAAATGATTGCAAGGTGTACATGTCTGTCTGGCATGAATCATCAGACCTTGACTTTATTTTCATAGAACATTGATAAAGTTACGATTCTGTGATACTTGTAGTTAAACCTTTATATAACAGACTTTTAACATGAAATCAGTGGTAAGTAAAACAGGGGAGACATTTCAGTGTGTGCACTCATGTTTGTTATGTGAACTTCTCTTATTAAAAGTAATAGGATAACCATATTTGGTATATGGGTTCCTTGCAAGGTCTGCATATCCGCCCGACGGTTCACCTGACCATTGACCTCATTTCATGGATCAGTGATCAAGGTTAAAGTTACATGATTAGGTCCCTTTCTCAGATACTAAAATCCAAGCACTCCGGCTTCCTCCACCAATAAAAACTGGCCGCAACGAAATCGCCCAAAAGCGGTGCTTAAAAGTGGAGTTAAAACACCAAAAATCAATCAAATCAGATACTAAAAACAGTATGTCAACTACATGTAGTGTATATTATGATTGTAAGGGGTACATGTCTGTCTGGCAGGTTTCATCTGACCTTGACCTTACATGGTTAATTGGTATATGATAAGTTTTTGTGTTTTGGACTGTCTTTCAAATACTATTAGCAATAGGTCAACTATATTTTGTGTATGTAATGATTGCAAGTTGTACATGTCTGTCTGGAGGTATCATTTTGTCTGTGACCTCATTTTCATGCATATGGTTCATTTGTCAATGTTAAGTTTATGTAGTTTGGAATGATTGTAGGATTAATATAAAAATAAGGAGATGTGGTATGATTGCCGATGAAACAACTATCCACCAAAGTTCAAATGAAGTGGATGTATGCAATTATAGGCCACCATATATATTGCCTTCAACAATGAGAAAAACCCATACTATATAGTTGGCTTAACTTGGCTATAAAAGGCTCTTGACATGCAAAATGTGAAACAATTCAATTGAGAAAATAACCGCCTGATTTAAGTCTGTTTCTTAGATACTATAAGCAATAGATCAACTATATTTGGTGCATGGAATGATTGTAGGGTGTACATGTCTGTGTGACTTGTTTTATTTGACCATGACTTCATTTTTATGGTTCATTGGTCAATGTTCAGTTTTCCTGTTTAAGTCTGTTTCTTAGATATTATCAGCAATATATTATATATATTTGGCACAAGGAATGATTGTAAGGTGTACATGTCTGTCTGCCATGTATCATCTGACCTTGACCTTAATTTCATGGTCATTGTTTAATTTTCAGTGTTTTGTTTCTTTGATACTATAATGTCAACTATATTTGGTGTATTGAATGATTGTTAGGTGTCTGCCTGCCAGGGTTTATCTGACCTTGACAGAATTGTCATCAATCATTGATAATGTTAAGTTTATGTGATACTTGCAGTAAAACCTTTATTTTTAAGACTTTCAACATTAAATCAATCATGGTCAGTAAAACAGGTGAGACATTTCAGCATGTGCATGCACTCTTGCTTTGTTTTTACAAAAAACCTTTAACCAATTAAGGTAATATACGAGAAAATGAAAACATTATTGCCAATTTACATATTTATTTCTATCTTTCAGCACTATTATAATAAATCACATTCTTACATAAGTCTAGATGTGTATAACAGTCATTGTTGTACACTGGACAAAAACGCAAGATTAATTATTAAATTTCGTCATAATAGCAAATTCAGAGAAAGTAAAAAAATATTGACGTCATAATTGAAATTTGAACAATGAAGAAATGAGATTTAACGATCTACACAGTGATTATAAAAGATTAATCAACCAGTTGAGGAAAGTATAAATCGGCCGAGAATAAGAGAAACTGATGTAAACAAATATTTCCTTTCATTCTTCTAAAGTTTCATTTGCAGCAAGTTAAGTGATATTGAAAGTCTCAGCTTCCGCAAAATTATTTCTATGATGTTTGAAATTAAGGGAAATTTACTTCTCTTAGCATCTTTGCAGGTACTACACAACAATCTTCTAAGTATCATTTGTAGCAAGTAAAGTGATATTGAAATTAATTCTCAGCTTCCGAAAAATTTTCCATGACATTTGAAATTAAGTTTTTAAGGGTACTAATATTCCAAACTTTGCTGGTACTACACACACAGCTCAATCTAGTACCCAACAATTACTGAGCCTAGATGGTAGCAGCATAAAAATTCTGACGATATAAAATCCTGCAACATGTTTCTTCATTCATTGGCTTTATGGTGATCATAGATTCATTACACAGACAAGTTCATAGTTCATCTGACATTCTATTGTTTATGACCTCTTTAATTACACAAAACAATGTATATTCATATAAAAGTTCATACATAAACATTAACATCAAGTCGGTAATGGTGCAAGTTCTGATACCAGAGGTAAAATCTGTTCTGTTTTTAACCTCCAGTTTTGAATGTCTTTTGAAACACGACACCAGTATTCACCATGGCGTGGATCAGCATTTATACACTTTTTCCGTACTTCATTTTGTGACTCCTGAAAAACAAATTTTTTCGGAACATAAAAAAAAAATTTGATAGTATGATGCAAATGTTGAAATAAATGGCAACGCTTTAAAATGTAAACTAAGTAAAACAAGTCAGTGAAGCATGACTGAGGGTGAGGGAGAGAATTAATCTATGTGGAAATGATATATCTCACTGCTAATACAACTGCATACCAAATATTTTTTTGTTTTTCATTGTTTTGTACATAAATCAGGCCATCAGATTTCGCGTATTAACTGTTTTACATTTGTCAATTCGGGACCTTTTATAACTGACTATGTAATATTGGTTTTGCTCATTGTTGAAGGCCATATGGTGACCTAAAGTTGTTAACTTCTATGTCATTTGGTCTCTGGTGGAGAGTTGTCTCATTGGCAATTAATCATACCACATCTTCTTATTTTAGAATTGATAACTGTAAGTATTTCCTCTTTAGTTGACCTAATCACAAACATGCAAAAGTTTTAAAGTCAATGTACCTTGACTGAGAGGACTGGGTCATATAATATGAATATAAGTTAGATATGCTTATGCTAATACATTGCAAAGATCATTGACTTTCAATTAGTGGTTCATCTAAAACTGACCTAATCACAAAATTTTACATGTAAACTATGCAAAAGTTTCAAAGTCAATATATCATGACTGAGGGAACAAGTATAAATTATCTCCATGAAACGAGATGCACAAATGCTAAAAAAATCATTGCATATAAAATATCATTTTCTTACCTTAAGTGGGTCCCCTTAAACTGGCCAAATTTACAAATTTAATGTATGAAGAAGTTGTTGATTCTTATGCCACCAATGCCAGAAGCAGCATGACCTAGTCTCACCTCTGTCACTTTGTTCAGGCATGACAACAAAAAAGAGAGTTAGAAAAGAACATATTAGGCTGTACAGTGACCTATAATTGCCTATAATATGTTTTTTTTAAAAATCTGGTGGAAGGTTGTCTCATTGGCTTTCATACCACATCTCTTTATTTTTTATATAGGTCTGAAAGTTTGCCTTTAACCAGACATGCTGCACAGATCCTGTATCAAAGCTTTACTTTACAAGATTTTGAAAACCCTCTGTTCTACTTTCTTTTTTAAAGACCTTTCAGGATCCTCTGGTTTTGTCAGATTAGTATACACCTTCAAAAATTTAAAGGCAGAAATTTCATTGACTGATGTAATAATTTCCAGAACAGAAAGTAAAACAGAGTGTTGTCAGATCCTTGTAAGCAAAGCTTGGAAACAGGATCTTTATTTCAATCAGTTTGGAACTATTAACTCAATGGTTTACCTCATCCCCATGCATGAGTTCAAACTTGTAGAAAAAGGCCCAGGCATCTCCCAAGTCTGGTTCTATCTTAACAGTCCTGTGGAACCATTCTCTGGCTTTACTGATCTTCCTCTCAGCCCAGAATATGAATCTGTAAAATAAAATTATTTATTCAAGGGAATTTCCTATGGACCTCAGTCCAAAATATGAATCAGTAAAATGAATTTTAGTTATTACTGGGACTTTCCTATGGACCTCAGTCCTGTGGAACCATTCTCTGGCTTTACTGATCTTCCTCTCAGCCCAGAATATGAATCTGTAAAATAAAATTATTTATTCAAGGGAATTTCCTATGGACCTCAGTCCAAAATATGAATCAGTAAAATGAATTTTAGTTAGTACAGGGACTTTCCTATGGACCTCAGTCCTGTGGAACCATTCTCTGGCTTTACTGATCTTCCTCTCAGCCCAGAATATGTATCTGTAAAATAAAGTTATAGTTATTTCAGGGAATTTCCTATGGACCTCAGTCCTGTGGAACCATTCTTTATGCTTTATTTAACTTCCCTTCAGACAAGAATATGTATCTGTAAAATAAAATTATAGTTATTCCAGGGACTTTCCTTTGGATCTCAGACTGTCCTCAGTCCTGTGAATACTCTGGCTTTACAGATCTTCCTCTCAGCCCAGATATATACCTGTAAAATAAATTTCAATTAATAGTCCAGAGACTTTCCTTCAGACCTAAGTCCAGAACATAAACAAGAGGCTCTCAAGAGCCTGAATCGCTCACCTGTATTTCAGAGAAAAAGATTTTTAAATGTTAGCAAACTTGATGAACAAATTGTGTAAAATTGTCTTTAAAGGGCAATAACTCCTTAAGGGGTCAATTGACAATTATGGTCATATTAACTTTTTTGTAGATCTTACTTTGCTGAACATTATTGCTGCTTACAGTTTATATATATCTATAATAATATTCAAAATAATAACAAATAAAATGCTCCACTGGGGCGCAGCTTGATACGACCGCAGAGGTCGAACCCTGAACAGTTGGGGCAAGTATGGACACAACATTCAAGCTTGATACAGCACTGAATTTGGATTGTAATTAAATATTTGACACAGCATAGGTTTCTGACACAGAATGAATGTGGTCTAAGAACTTAAAATTTTTTAATTTACCTATTCAAACCATATCATTATTATTTGCTTTTATATATAAATCAGAAATAACCAATTTAAAATGGAAAATTTTAAAGAAGAAAAAGGAAAAAAAAAATCCCCCCCCCCCAAATTTTTTGAACCCCCTTATGATTCATCACCCCCAAACTCAATCCCAGTCTTCCCTTTGTGGTATGGTACCTTGCAGTACAATTTCAGAGAGATCCATACACTTGAACACAAGTTATTGTCTGGAAACTAGAAAAATGCTTGTTTTTTAGCCCCATTTGGCCCCAAATTCCTAAACGTTTAGGGCAATTACCCCCAAACTCAAACCCAGCTTTACCTTTGTGATATGGAACCTTGTAGTACAATTTCATAAAGATCAATACACTTACACACAAGTTATTGTCCTGAAACTAGAAAAATGGTTGTTTTATTGCCCCTTTTTTGCCCCTAATTCCTAAAATTTTGAAGCAATTACCCCCAAAATCAATCCCAGTCTTCCCTTTGTGGTATGGTACCTTGCAGTACAATTTCAGAGAGATCCATACACTTGAACACAAGTTATTGTCTGGAAGTTCTAAAAATGCTTATTTTTGGCCCCTTTTTGGCCCCTTATTCCTAAACGTTTTGGGCAATTACCCCCAAACTCAATTCCAGCTTTCCCTTTGTGATATGGAACCTTGTAGTACAATTTCATAAAGATCCATACACCTACACACAAGTTATTGTCATGAAACTAGAAAAATTCTTGTTTTTTGCCCCTTTTTTGCCCCTAATTCCTAAAATTTGGAGGCAATTACCCCCAAAATCAATCCCAGCTTTCCCTTTGTGATATGGAACCTTGTGGTACAATGTCAGAGAGATCCATACATTTACACACAAGTTATTGTCATGAAACTAGAAAAATGCTTGTTTTTTGCCCCTTTTTTGGCCCCTAATTCCTAAAATTTGGAGGCAATTACCCCCAAAATCAATCCCAGCATTCCCTTTGTGATATGGAACCTTGTGGTACAATGTCAGAGAGATCCATACACTAACACACAAGTTATGTCTGGAAGTTACAAAAATGCTTATTTTTGGCCCCTTTTTGGCCCCTAATTCCTTAACTGTTGGTACCATTACCCCCAAAATCAATCCCCACCTTCCTTTTGTGGTATTGAACCTTATGGTAAAATTTCATAGAGATCCATTCACTTAAACTTAAGTTAGAGTGCGAAAACCAATGTGTCTTTGGACGACGACGACAACGACGACGCCAACGTCATACCAATATACGACCACAAAATTTTTTTGCGGTCGTATAAAAACTGCAAAATTTTGTTAAAACTACCAATTCGGTGGCAGCAACCCAACAATGGGTTGTTCGATTCGTCTGAAAATTTCAGGGCAGATAGATCTTGACCAATTTAACAATTTTACCCTGTCACATTTGCTCTAAAAGATTCAGTTTTTGAGATATAAGCCAAAAACTGCATTTGACCCTTATGTTCTATTTTTAGCCATGGCGGCCATGTTTGTTGATGAATACAAACTTCCGATACAATTTATTAACAAGATACCCTAAGGAACATTTAGTTAAAGTTTGAAGGTAATTGGCCCAGTAGTTTCAGAGGAGAAGATTTTTAAATGTTAGCAAACTTGATGAACAAATTGTGTAAAATTGTCTTTAAAGGGCAATAACTCCTTAAGGGGTCAATTGACAATTATAGTCATTATAACTTTTTTGTAGATCTTACTTTGCTGAACATTATTGCTGCTTACAGTTTATATATATCTATAATAATATTCAAAATAACAACAAAAAACTGCAAAATTTTGTTAAAAACTACCAATTCGGTGGCAGCAACCCACCAATGGGTTGTTCGATTCGTCTGAAAATTTCAGGGCAGATAGATCTTGACTAATTAAACAATTTTACCCTGTCACATTTGCTCTAAAAGATTCAGTTTTTGAGATATAAGCCAAAAACTGCATTTGATCCTTATGTTCTATTTTTAGCCATGGCGGCCATGTTTGTCGATGAATACAAACTTCCGATACAATTTATAAACAAGATACCCTAAGGAACATTTAGTTAAAGTTTGAAGGTAATTGGCCCAGTAGTTTCAGAGGAGAAGATTTTTAAATGTTAGCAAACTTGATGAACAAATTGTGTAAAATTGTCTTTAAAGGGCAATAACTCCTTAAGGGGTCAATTGACAATTATGGTCATATTAACTTTTTTGTAGATCTTATTTTGCTGAACATTATTGCTGCTTACAGTTTATATATATCTATAATAATATTCAAAAAATATAACAAAAAACTGCAAAATTTTGTTAAAACTACATCTTCGGTGGCAGCAACCCAACAATGGGTTGTTCGATTCGTCTGAAAATTTCAAAACCTGATAGATCTTGACCAATTGAACAATTTTACCCCATGTCAGATTTGCTCTAAAAGCTTTAGTTTTTGAGATATAAGCCAACAAGAGTGCACACACTGAAATGTCTCGCCTTCTTTACTAATCACTGATATTATGTTGATAGTCCTAAATATTAAGTTTTATTACAACTGTCACATAAACTTAACATTAACCAAGAAAACTAAACATTGACCAATGAACCATGAAAATGAGGTCAAGGTCAGATGAACCATGCCAGGCAGGCATGTACAGCTAACAATTCTTTCATACAACAAATATAGTTGACCTATTGCTTATAGTTTAAGAAAAACAGACCAAAACACAAAAACTTAACACTGAGCAATGAACTGTGAAAATGAGGTCAAGGTCAAATAAAAGCTGCGCGACTGACATATAGATCATAAAATATTTCCATACACCAAATATAGTTGACCTATTGCATATAGTATTAGAAAAAAAGACCAAAACTCAAAATCTTAACTTTGACCACTAAACCATGAAAATGAGGTCAAGGTCAAATGACACCTGCCAGCTAGACATGTACACCTTACAATCATTCCATACACCAAATATAGTAGACCTATTGCATACAGTATAAGAAAAACAGACCAAAACACAAAAACTTAACTATAACCACTGAACCATGAAAATGAGGTCAAGGTCAGATGACACCTGCCAGTTGGACATGTACACCTTACAGTCCTTCCATACACCTAATATACTACACCTATTGCTTATAGTATCTGAGATATGGACTTGACCACCAAAACTTAACCTTGTTCACTGATCCATGAAATGAGGTCGAGGTCAAGTGAAAACTGTCTGACGGGCATGAGGACCTTGCAAGGTACGCACATACCAAATATAGTTATCCTACTACTTATAATAAGAGAGAATTTAACATTACAAAAAATGTTAACTTTTTTTTCAAGTAGTCACTGAACCATGAAAATGAGGTCAAGGACATTGGACATGTGACTGACGGAAACTTCGTAACATGAGGCATCCATATACAAAGTATGAAGCATACAGGTCTTCCACCTTCTAAAATATAAAGCTTTTAAGAAGTTAGCTAACGCCGCCGCTGCCGCCGGATCGCTATCCCTATGTCGAGCTTTCTGCGACAAAAGTCGCAGGCTCGACAAAAACTGCATTTGACCCATATGTTCTATTTTTAGCCATGGCGGCCATGTTTGTCGATGGATAAAAACTTTGGATACAATTTATAAACTAGATACCCTAAGGAACATTTAGTTAAAGTTTGAAGGTATTTGGCCCAGTAGTTTCAGGGTAGAAGATTTTTGAAAAAGTTTACGACGACGACAGACGATGGACGACGACGGACGCCAAGTGATGGCATAAGCTCACATGGGGCCCTTCGGGCCCTGGTGAGCTAATAAATGAAAGAATACATACATCAAGGAGACAGTCATCAAACAGTACTATAAAACATTAGAGACACTAAGTGGTCATCATACAGTTTTTAACAAGACCATAATTGGTTCCTTAAAACTAAACTTTAACACATATATTTATCAGCCAAGAGTACATTAAACAGAACAGGGTTTGGCGCCAACAAACTAGTTTAACCCCGCCATATTCTGTATGTGCCTGTCCCAAGTCAGGAGCCTGTAATTCAGTGGTTGTCGTTTGTTGCTATATATCATATTTGTTTTTTGTTCATTATTTTGTGCATAAATCAGGCTGTTAGTTTTCTCGTTTGAATTGTATTTATACATTTGTCATTTCAGGGCCTTTTATAGCTGACTATGTAATATTGGTTTTACTCATTGTTGAAGGCTGTACGGTGACCTATAGTTGTTAATTTCTGCTGTGTCATTTGGTCTCTTGTGGAGAGCTGTCTCATTGGCAATCATACCACATCTTTTTATTTTTAGTCCCCTACCGATGAAGTTGAAGGGGACTTTAGGTTTGCACTCCGTCCGTCTGTCTGTCTGTCTGTCCATCTGTCAGTCCGGCAAATCAGTTTTCCACACTTTTTTTCTTCGTGCTTGAAGATATTGATTTGATATTTGATAAACTGTTTTATCATGACAAGTTACAGATCAAGTTCGACTTTTGTTCCGGTCTGATGATTTTGTACAGAGTTATGGTCCTTGGACTTAGAAAATTCACTCAAATAATCAGTTTTCCACATTTTTTTTCATCATAACTGAAGATATTGATTTGTAAATTGGCATATAGTTTTATCATGACAAGTTACATATCAATTTCGAATTTTGTTCTGGTCTGATGATTTTGTGTTGAGTTATGGTCCTTGGACTTATTCACTTAAATAATCAGTTTTCCACACTTTTTTTCATCATGCTTGAAGATATTGAACTGATATTTGTTATATAGTTTACACCATGACAAGTTAAAAAGATCAAGTTAGCATTTTGTTCCAGTACAATGAATTTTTTAACGGTAGGGTACTATGCATTGCCATGCAATACTCTCAGAATGCTTGTTAAAGTAACATTTCTTACTTGGACGCTGCTAACAATACATGTGGGTCATGTTCACACTTTCTCAAAGCATCTACTGATTTGGTTTTTCTCTGTGGTCTTGGTTCAATAGCTATAGACTCTGCCCACAATATTCCAGAATTTGAACATTCTTGAAGAGCTGAAAAAGGTCAAATTTTGCTTATTATCAATTTAATGGTGCTACTGCAAAAATGATTAGGGAATTTGGTTTATCATTGATACACTGAATTAGTGTGGATTCATTTAGTTTTCTGGAATACCAATTTTCAATTTTTCATGAATTGAGGGAAATTGTATATATGGATATTTGATATTGTGGTTTTGTCAAAGCCTTCATATATGCCAAAAGAAAATGTGTACTTTGTTGTTTGTGGTTTAACTATTCACAAAAAAATTATCCAATGAATAGTAATGAACTTCATAGTATTCATCAACAATTTTTAGGCATCTTTTTGACAATTTGATTCTTGATGTATACCCCACAACTTGATATTCATATTCCCAATGTTTAGGGTTATCTTTTCATTTGAGAGAATTATGTGAATTTATTTTTTGCCTACCTCTTGCCATCAAATTTTGAGCAATATTCTTTAAGCCAGCTCTGTTTTCCACTCTGACTGCCTCCAACCTACAATGAAACATGCATCAGATTTTAATAGATATAGCAGAAGCTGTGATTAGACCATTCTCTGGTCAATAATGTTAATACAAAAACAACAAAAATAAAAGTAAGTAATACATTAAAGCCATTTTTTTTTAGCCCTTTGAATTCAAATAAATTTTGCAAAAATAACAAATAAAACATACTGAACACTCAAATTTATTCACCAACATTATTTTACTCCTGACTTCACCTGGTTTCATCTCCATCAGGCCTGAAAAAGCTATGAAAATCTTGGTATGCATACCTGACTTAGACTTATTCATCCCCTTTCTCAGAAACCTATCCAGGGTAAAATTCTGCATATTGTAATCCAATAAAATCCTTCACAAATATTTTTTTTAATATTTGTATCTTTGAATTCGTCTTTTCATTCAGAATCTAAAGTACTATGGGTAATCTCATTGTTCGTACACCAAAATGAAAATAACGTTACGTCATTGCTTGATTTTCCATTGTTTAGCCAGGACATTTTAAACCAATCACAGCGTTTTGGTGTAGGCTTTTGAAAATATTACCCAGAATGCATTTAATAATTATGAAATGGCAAATTCTGTCTTTCATTCTTCCTGTAGGGTTTTTATCTTCTTGTATTTAATGAAAAACTGACAAAAAAGGCTCATTTTGATATAATTTTCTTATCAACAATATTTAGATAGTGTTCATATCATAAATAAATGATAAGAATAAAAAAAGACAGATATAGGTCTGCATTTTTTATCACAAAAACTTTGTGAAGAGTTCCTCGCAACCCTGTGTCTCACCTAAGACTGCTGCTGTTAGTGTAAAAGTGTGGCGTTGACTGCCAACATCCATATATATGTAAAATACAGGGCCAAAAATTTAACCTTTTTCATCAGACGCTCTTTCTTGATCTTGAAGAAGCATATTTTAAAGTTTCAAAACATTCCATGAAGGTTTAACAAATTTATTGATGTCCCCGTACTGTATGAAAATGCAAATTGCAAAGAAAAAACAGGGTCCATTTATAAGTAAAATATGGAAAAAATGAAAAACATATATTTTCAAAATTTTGTTCAGATATATACTTCTTAAGTTAACCGTGAAACAGCTTCTGCCAAAGATTCATAAAATTCTATGAAGATTTGACAAGGTTATTGATGCGTAAAAAATCTAACCCCAGACTGTATCTTAATGTGAAGATGTGTATGATGGCCAATATTTAAAGTATAATATACAGAATTTTTTTTTTCTACCGTCTTTTCATCATTTAAAAATCTTTTGTCCAAGTTTTGTAAAATTCCATGACGGTTTGACAACTTAAACCACAGACTGATGCAGATGAAGCTTATGTTGGAATGTAGGAAAAATATTACCTTTGTAATGTCACAGTTATATAATCTAAACTGACTAAAACTGGCGAAACAAGTGAAACTGCGAGCTACTGCTCACTGATGATACCCCTGCCCAAATATTTCAGTAAACAGGAAGTTGTTGATTGATGAATCTGAAAACGCATCACACGGTATAGCTGACTTATATTAACCCTGAAACCAAATTTCAGAAATCCTTATGATGTAGATCCTGAGAAAGATGCGACAAAAAATATTCCTGGGACGGATGGACAGACGGACAGACAGAGGTAAAACAGTATACCCCACTTTTTTAAAGCGGGGGCATATAAAGCAGTTAAATAGATAGTTTGAAGTAATATTAACAAGAATGCAGATGCCTGATAAAATGCCATCTTGTTTCTTACCATAGATCCGGCACCTGAGGATTTTTGAGTCTTGCTTTCTCTAAGATTGATCTAGCTTTAATTAACTGTCCATTCTTTTCCTCTAGTCTGGATAATAACAGCCACAAAGGTATTGCTTTGGGACATTTTTTGAGCTGAAAATATAAAACTAAAATTGTATGATACAGTATTTACTTTTTAGATACAGTGTTTCTTAACTAATATTCGTCACCTTTTTTTTTTTTGCTTTAATACTTCATATAATAAAACATTTTAAAAATAAATGGAGAATGTGTCCATGGGACACAGATGATCCCCCTGCTTGCATATAACATTATATATAAGTCAATAAAATGCTCCGCTGGGTGCAGCTTGATACGACCGCAGAGGTCAAACCCTGAACAGTTGGGGCAAGTATGGACACAACATTCAAGCTTGATACAGCACTTAATTTGGATTGTGATTAAATATTTTACACAGCATAGGTTTCTGACACAGAATGAATGTGGTCTAAGAACTTAAAAAATTTTTAATTTAACAACTCAAACCATATAATTATTATTTGCTTTTATATATAAAATCAGAAATAACCAATTTAAAACGGAAAATTTTAAAGAAAAAAAAAAGGAAAAAAAGGAAAAAAAAATCCCTCCCCAAAATTTTTTGAACCCCCTTATGATTCATCACCTCCAAACTCAATCCCAGCCTCCCCTTTGTGGTATAGTACCTTGCAGTACAATTTCAGAGAGATCCATACACTTGAACACAAGTTATTGTCTGGAAACTAGAAAAATGCTTATTTTTGGCCCCTTTTTGGCCCCTTATTCCTAAACGTTTTGGGCAATTACCCCCAAACTCAATTCCAGCTTTCCCTTTGTGATATGGAACCTTGTAGTACAATTTCAGAAAGATCCATACACTTACACACAAGTTATTATCATGAAACTAGAAAAATGCTTGTTTTTTGCCCCTTTTTTGGCCCCTTATTCCTAAAATTTTGAGGCAATTACCCCCAAAATCAATCCCAACCTTCCTTTTGTAGTATTGAACCTTATGGTAAAATTTCATAGAGATCCATTCACTTAAACTAAAGTTAGAGTGCCAAAACCAATGTGTCTTCGGAAGACTACGAAGACGACGACGCCCACGTCATACCAATATACGACCGCAAATTTTTTTTGAGGTAAAAGTGAGGTTATCCAAATTCTCACATGATCTGAGTTTTGTGGTAATAAGCATTGTGTATAAGTTTTATAACTTTTGGTTGAGGCAAACTAAAGTTAGAGAACGGAAACCAATTTCGGGACGTACAGACGGACAAGGGTAACACTTAATGCCCACTCCGATGTGGCAAGGGCATACAAATTTGAGGGATTTATGGTAAGATCTTAGTTAATAAAACACAGCATTCTCTAGAGTAATTATTTGTTTATTTGGTCATAATTTTGTCCTTCAGTTCATATAATAATTTACAATTTCATTTGTTTAAATATATTGCACATTTCCAGCCATAAAGTAATACATGTGTATTTGTTTTTATATCTTAATTTTATAAGCAGCATTTTAATTTCATGTCAGCACTTTTCCCTGAATATTTGTTTGATCTTATCTGTGATGTACAAAAATCTTTATTATACTTCATGTTTAAATGCCAGATTTTGATTGGTTAATACGAGGGAGACAATTTACTCTATCCAATGGCAAATACTCTATTACCCTTCACGGAGACGCTTGCTCAAGTGTGCGCTTTAATAAATATGGATGATTGTTATGTACAAGACGACATAGTTTATTACTTTGAATTTGAAATTTAATATACAGTAATAACAGAACATTCAGTATAATAAATTAAATAACACATATCTGAGAGGGTGATAGAGCAGATTGTTACCGCTCGAAAAGACATTGTCAACCTTGGCTTCGCCTCAGTTGACAATGTTTTCTCTGGGTAACAATCTGCTCTATCACGCTCTCAGCTATGTGTTATTTATATAATAATACATACAAAGATACCAGAAATAACCAAAAATATTAAACAGTTCAACAGAGCAGACTTCCACCAAGAAAAATTCGTAAGGGTTCCGCGGAACCCAGTGTCTCGCCTACTTTTTCTGTTAATCGCAGCCTCAACAAAAATGAGGAAGTAAATCAATAAAAATATTCCTCTTGATACTATCTTTTGATTGTACGAACTTTCTATCCAAGTTTGGTAAAAATCCAGGATAGTTTATGAATCTAATAAATGTTTAAAAACTTCATCTGCAGACTGAATGTAATGTTAACTTGAAGAAAACAAAATTTCCTTCTAGATACTAGCATTTGATCATAAACAAGCTTCTGTTAAAGTTTGGATCAAATCCAAAATAGTATAAGAAAGTTATTAAAATTTAAAAAACTTTAACCACAGAGTGAATGTGTTGTTTCCTGACAGGAAATCTAAGTCCATTTAAAAGTAAAATACGGAAAAAATGGATTTATTATTTTACAAAATTTCCTTCTAGATACTAGCTTTTGATCATAAACAAGCTTCTGTCCAAGTTTGGTACAAATCCAAAATAGTATAAGAAAGTTATTAAAATTTTAAAAACTTTAACCACAGAGTGAATGTGTTGTTTCCTGGCAGAAAATCTAAGTCCATTTAAAAGTAAAATACGGAAAAAATGGATTTATTATTTTACAAAATTTCCTTCTGGATACTATCTTATGATCATAAACAAGCTTCTGTCCAAGTTTGGTAGAAACCCAGGATAGTTTAAGAAAGTTATTAAAATTTTAAAAACTTTAACCACAGAGTGAATGTAATATTTCCCGGCAGAAAAACTAAGTCCATTTATAAGTAAAATACGGAAAAAATGGAATTTTATTTTTACAAAATTTACTTCTGGATACTATCTTATGATCATAAACAAGCTTCTGTCCAAGTTTGGTAGAAATCCAAGGTAGTTTAAGAAAGTTATTAAAATTTCAAAAACTTTAACCACAGAGTGAATATTTGTGGACGCCGCCGACGACGCCGACGGAATGTAGGATCGCTATGTCTCGCTTTTTCGACTAAAGTCGAAGGCTCGACAAAAAAGACTTACTAACAAAGACAACAATGAACAACAAATAGTCCAGATAGCTTGACTTTGTAAAGAAGGACTTCAACCATTTTTACCCCCCTTTTTTCATAATGATATAATTCATGTTGCTTTAACAGTGGCACCTTCTCCTATATGCTTCTTGCATTATCAACTATTAAAGTTGCCTGTGTATCTAATGTTTGAAATCACATAACAGTTTATTTTTCCAAATACCCCAATTTGTTTCCCCCCTCTCACAATCTCCACCAATTTTTTTATGTCCTCCCTTTCTGTCCCCCTCCTCCTTATATTAGATCTATTCTGATATAAAAGAACATTTAAAAATAATCTTAAAAGTTTAAAAGCCAGGAAGATCCACCTTAGGAAAAATCAATATTTCAACAAATAAATTTAAATTGTTAGTATTCTATTTTTAGAACTGTTTATATTGTTGCTATAAACAAAGATATATTTAAACATTACTTTCTTTTTACCTGTGAAGTAAAAGATTGATATTTTTCTGACTGGAAAGGATTAGAATTAACTGTGTGACATAGTTGTTCATTGGGTTATTCATCCACATATACCTAAGTAGTAAGTACTGTAGAGGGACAGGAACTACCAATCTAATAAGTTCTGCACAGTACTAGCACAAGAGGAGCTTTTTCATAACATGTACAAACTTGAAACTAGACAAAGCATAAAGTGAAAAACTTGACCATCTTTTAAACTGATCTTAACATTTGACTGTAGAGGATTATTCATGCAAAATGACAACAAAGAAAAGTCAACCATCAGAGAAAGACATACTAACCAGAATCGACCAATCAGAAAAAGAAACTATTGATATGGTAAAAAAATATGCCAAGAGCCTACGTGATCAGGCTAAAAAGGACAAAATGGAATTCAAGAAAGGTGATTTAAGTACAGAAAACATGGCGAAATTATTTGGAGAAATTACGGAATATAAAAATCCTAATGAAACCTTGACAGTTGTCAATAGTTACAATTCTGACTTGAGTTTTATATACCGTTTACGTATCCTTGGTGAGACGTCCATCTGGATTTCAAACTTTAACACTAAAATATTACGACAGATTTCCTTTGAAGATAACAATATCAAAACTTTACATGAAATTTCTGCCGACATTTTTGACATGTCTAATTCATCTAATAATGATATTTTCTTATCAATGCGTGACACATGTGAGGTGAAGATGCTGATGAAGTCTGGGAAGATCAAATCTGTTTTTTCCGTTTCAACTGGTCTTTTGCCTCGTGCTATTCACGTCACGAAAGACAATAGAATTCTATTAGGTGTTACTGATCGTGGGCATATGTATAAAACCGGAGATGACAGCTTCAGGAAAATCATGGTCTATGGAATGGATGGAAAACAGAAACAATCCTTTGGAGATGAAATATTAACGTTTCCGTACAGAATAACCACTAATACAAACAGAGACATTGTCGTTATTGATGTTATTGCAGACGATTCTGGGAGAATAATCAATTTGGGACAAGATGGTAACCTTAAGTGGATTTATCAAGGTCATCCTTCAATGAATTCTCAACGACCTTTTGACCCTAGAGATATTGTGACAACACCAAAAGGTCTGGTGATAGTAGCAGACTGTATCAGCCATGGAATCCATGTTCTATCAGAGGAGGGAACTTTAATTACATGTAAAAACATGAAAGAACAAGGAGTTGTCTTTCCTTACTCATTGGATATCGACAACAAAGGGTTAATATGGGTTGGGTGTGACACATTCAAAGGCAAAGCAGATGCCAAAATACACAACATTGAAATTTCTTAACTTTTGTAGACAATGATACTTTCTTTTTACAACATATGATTTATATTAAATAAATTAAAAAACTGTAGACAAACTTGTCAGTACAGCCAACCTCAGCAATAATAATATAAAACGAAAAATTTATCACCAGGCTAATTTGGACATTTTTTTAATTTCATCATTCTCTTTAGAAATTGGATATTTCATAAAAACATGGTGGCCATTAGTTTTCTTGTTTGAATTGTTTTACATTTGTAATTTTAGGACCTTTTATAGCTGACTATACGGTATGGGTTTTGCTCATTGTTGAAGTCCGTACAGTGACCTATAGTTGTTAATTTCTATGTCATTTAGTCTCTGGTGGGGAGTGTCTCCTTGGCAATCATACCACATCTTCTTATTTCTTATTTTTATACAAATACAGAAATTTGATAGATGTCAAGACAAGTTATGTGTTATTATTTTAATTAGTGATATTCGATGTTGAAGGATTTGCGACATATTCATTTATTTGTGAAATTACTAATATCAGTATGAGAGACTTTTATCCTTGATTCATACTAAGACAAGAATGTAATGTAAAGGCAAAAATATAATGAGATTATATGAGTAATTATAATTATCTAATTTCAATTAATGTGAAAGCTGTCACATATGGCTACTGGTTATGAAATGTCATTTTAAATAGAGTATTGCTACAAACTTGTCATGTTAATTAGGTATTCAATATTCATTATATATATTAATACTAAAAATTGACAACACTTCAGATGGTCTGCAACTTTATTTGCTATGGTGAGCCAACGCCTGTGTGAATCCTTTCGGTAGAGCCCATGAAGTGGATACATTTGGTATGCCATGAAGAGGTTGGCATACCAAAGGTATCCACTTCATGGGCTCTACCGAAAGGATTCACACAGGCTTGGTTCACCAAACGGAGTTTAATTATATATATTAGTTGTAAACTTTGTTGAAAATAGAACATACAGACACATAAAGAGCTCGACAGTAGGAGTCATAATGTAATGCTGACTGTGTCCAATTGTTATTCTTTGGCTTGGAATTAATTATCAAAGGTCAACTTGTCAGCGAAGCTAAGATCAAAGGTGAAAATATTATGCAATCCAAGAACAAAGGTGACAATGTCACAGATTTAACCAAAAAGTGAAAATGTCAAAGATTCAAACGAAAAGTGAAAATGTCACAAATTCAATCAAAAGGCAAAAATGTCACAGATTCAAACGAATGGTGAAAATTTCACAGATTCAACCAAAAGGTGAAAATGTCACCGATTCAAATGAAAGGTGAAATTGTCACTGATTCAAACAAAAGGTGAAAATGTTACTGATTCAAATAAAAGATCAATGTGTCACATACAAATGTTCTCATCCTGATCATGCATGAAATTTGCAACTGGACATCAAGCAACCAACAATCATATCATCAATTAAAATGTCATAGATTCAAATAAAAGGTGAAAATGTCACAGATTCAAACATGAAAATGTCACTAATTCAAACAAAAGGTGAAAATGTCACATACTCATCCTGACCATGCATGAAATTTGCCACTGAACATCAAGCAATTAACAATCATTTCATCAATGAACATGTCATAGATTCTGATAAAAGGTGAAAATGTCATAGATTCTGATAAAAGGTGAAAATGTCATAGATTCTGATAAAAGGTGAAAATGTCATAGATTCTGATAAAAGGTGAAAATGTCATAGATTCAGATAAAAGGTGAAAATGTCATAGATTCAAATAAAAGGTGAAAATGTCACAGATTCAAACATGAAAATGTCACTAATTCAAACAAAAGGTGAAAATGTCACATACTCATCCTGACCATGCATGAAATTTACCACTGAACATCAAGCAATTAACAATCATTTCATCAATGAACATGTCATAGATTCAGATAAAAGGTGAAAATGTCACAGATTCAAATGAAAGGTGAAAATGTCATAGATTCAGATAAAAGGTGAAAATGTCACAGATTCAAATGAAAGGTAAAAATGTCATAGATTCAGATAAAAGGTGAAAATGTCATAGATTCAGATAAAAGGTGAAAATGTCATAGATTCAGATAAAAGGTGAAAATGTCACAGATTCAAATGAAAGGTGAAAATGTCGCTGATTTAAATGACCGGTATGAAGTAACTCACCCCCTGATTATAAGCATCTCTAGCAGCTTCTTTCTCTCCTTGTTGTTCTTCTATTTGTCCTTTCATCATCCATAACTGAAAAAATAAGATTATTAATTATTCAGTCTTTAAAATAATATATAGATATCACAAATATGTGTTCATTTTGGAAGCAAGCATTTCAACAAAAATTTCAAAGCCTGTTTGTGAGATTTTTTTGTTGTTTAAAAATTAGTAACTTACTGCATTTTGGGAGCCCATTGACGAAACAAAGGTCACAATGGGTAAAAAAAACAAAATGACCTTACAGGAGAGGTGAATTCTGAATTAAAATTATTCAAAATGCAGCAGGACAAGAATAGGGTGTCTTACAATACATGTTTTTGGTTAACAGAGGTGATCTTTATCTATAGGGGGTTCTCTGTGCATGATACACTATGCAGATATTACTACAGCAGGACAAGAAGAGGGTGATCTTACAATACATGTTTTTTCGGTTAACAGAGGTGACCTTTATCTATAGGTAGTTCTCTGTACATGATACACTATGCAGATATGACTACAGCAGGACAAGAAGAAAGGTCACAATGGGTGAAAAAAACAAAATGACCTTACAGGAGAGGTGAACTCTGAATTAAAATTATTCAAAATGCAGCAGGACAAGAATAGGGTGTCTTACAATACATGTTTTTGGTTAACAGAGGTGATCTTTATCTATAGGGGGTTCTCTGTGCATGATACACTATGCAGATATTACTACAGCAGGACAAGAAGAGGGTGATCTTACAATACATGTTTTTGGTAAACAGAGGCGACCTTTATCTATAGGGGTTCTCTGTACATGATACACTATGCAGATATTACTACAGCAGGACAAGAAGAGGGTGATCTTACAATACATGTTTTTGGTAAACAGAGGCGACCTTTATCTATAGGGGTTCTCTGTACATGATACACTATGCAGATATTACTACAGCAGGACAAGAAGAGGGTGATCTTACAATACATGTTTTTGGTAAACAGAGGCGACCTTTATCTATAGGGGTTCTCTGTACATGATACACTATGCAGATATTACTACAGCAGGACAAGAAGAGGGTGATCTTACAATACATGTTTTTGGTAAACAGAGGCGACCTTTATCTATAGGGGTTCTCTGTACATGATACACTATGCAGATATTACTAAAGCAGGACAAGAAGAGGGTGATCTTACAATACATGTTTTTGGTAAACAGAGGCGACCTTTATCTATAGGGGTTCTCTGTACATGATACACTTACTTGGACCATAACTAAAACTGTTTTATGTGTAGTTTTTAATAGACTGTTGTTTGTCTTTTTGGCGATGGTATAATCTGTTTTTATTAATTTATGCTGTCTGCATTTTTTTAACCTGATATTAAAAAGGTTGAATGGGCACTGATGACTTAAAACCTTATGACCCATACTATTATAGGCAGAGCATTAAATAAAACTTTATTTTGTGGATTTGTAGGGTTCTTTTTAATCTGGGTGACCTGCTCAAATCAGAAATTGCAATCTACTGTGTTCTTTTGCTTTTTAAATATTTTCAAATATTTATATGTTTAAGTGGAATAAAAACCACAGTCAGATAAAGGTATTTTTTTTATTTTGAACCAAATATTCCCAGTACATACATGTAAATGATTGATCTACTGTAAAAAAATGATTACAAAATTATGAAAAAAAATATTTAGTGTAAGATGTTTACCTTTGGGAAGTCTGAGTAATGTCTGACAGCTTCTACCAGTAATGTTTTAGAGTTCTGTATTTCTCCTAAACACCATTCTAATAGAAACTTACCTTAGGGAAGTCTGAGTAATGTCTGACAGCTTCTATCAGTAATGTTTTAGAGTTATGTATTTCTCCTAAACACCATTCTAATAGAAACTTACCTTTGGGAAGTCTGAGTAATGTCTGACAGCTTCTACCAGTAATGTTTTAGAGTTCTGTATTTCTCCTAAACACCATTCTAATAGAAACTTACCTTAGGGAAGTCTGAGTAATGTCTGACAGCTTCTACCAGTAATGTTTTAGAGTTCTGTATTTCTCCTAAACACCATTCTCATAGAAACTTACCTTTGGGAAGTCTGAGTAATGTCTGACAGCTTCTACCAGTAATGTTTTAGAGTTCTGTATTTCTCCTAAACACCATTCTAATAGAAACTTACCTTAGGGAAGTCTGAGTAATGTCTGACAGCTTCTACCAGTAATGTTTTAGAGTTCTGTATTTCTCCTAAACACCATTCTAATAGAAACTTACCTTAGGGAAGTCTGAGTAATGTCTGACAGCTTCTACCAGTAATGTTTTAGAGTTCTGTATTTCTCCTAAACACCATTCTAATAGAAACTTACCTTAGGGAAGTCCGAGTAATGTCTGACAGCTTCTACTAGTAATGTTTTAGAGTTCTGTATTTCTCCTAAACACCATTCTAATAGAAACTTACCTTTGGGAAGTCTGAGTAATGTCTGACAGCTTCTACCAGTAATGTTTTAGAGTTCTGTATTTCTCCTAAACACCATTCTAATAGAAACTTACCTTAGGGAAGTCTGAGTAATGTCTGACAGCATTAGTAATGTTTTAGAGTTCTGTATTTCTCCTAAACACCATTCTCATAGAAACTTACCTTAGGGAAGTCTGAGTAATGTCTGACAGCTTCTACCAGTAATGTTTTAGAGTTCTGTATTTCTCCTAAACACCATTCTCATAGAAACTTACCTTTGGGAAGTCTGAGTAATGTCTGACAGCTTCTACCAGTAATGTTTTAGAGTTCTGTATTTCTCCTAAACACCATTCTCATAGAAACTTACCTTAGGGAAGTCTGAGTAATGTCTGACAGCTTCTACCAGTAATGTTTTAGAGTTCTGTATTTCTCCTAAACACCATTCTAATAGAAACTTACCTTAGGGAAGTCTGAGTAATGTCTGACAGCATTAGTAATGTTTTAGAGTTCTGTATTTCTCCTAAACACCATTCTCATAGAAACTATCCTAAGGGAAGTCTGAGTAATGTCTGACAGCTTCTACCAGTAATGTTTTAGAGTTCTGTATTTCTCCTAAACACCATTCTCATAGAAACTTACCTTTGGGAAGTCTGAGTAATGTCTGACAGCTTCTACCAGTAATGTTTTAGAGTTCTGTATTTCTCCTAAACACCATTCTCATAGAAACTTACCTTAGGGAAGTCTGAGTAATGTCTGACAGCTTCTACCAGTAATGTTTTAGAGTTCTGTATTTCTCCTAAACACCATTCTCATAGAAACTTACCTTAGGGAAGTCTGAGTAATGTCTGACAGCTTCTACCAGTAATGTTTTAGAGTTCTGTATTTCTCCTAAACACCATTCTAATAGAAACTTACCTTAGGGAAGTCTGAGTAATGTCTGACAGCTTCTACCAGTAATGTTTTAGAGTTCTGTATTTCTCCTAAACACCATTCTCATAGAAACTTACCTTTGGGAAGTCTGAGTAATGTCTGACAGCTTCTACCAGTAATGTTTTAGAGTTCTGTATTTCTCCTAAACACCATTCTAATAGAAACTTACCTTAGGGAAGTCTGAGTAATGTCTGACAGCTTCTACCAGTAATGTTTTAGAGTTCTGTATTTCTCCTAAACACCATTCTAATAGAAACTTACCTTAGGGAAGTCTGAGTAATGTCTGACAGCTTCTACCAGTAATGTTTTAGAGTTCTGTATTTCTCCTAAACACCATTCTAATAGAAACTTACCTTAGGGAAGTCCGAGTAATGTCTGACAGCTTCTACTAGTAATGTTTTAGAGTTCTGTATTTCTCCTAAACACCATTCTAATAGAAACTTACCTTTGGGAAGTCTGAGTAATGTCTGACAGCTTCTACCAGTAATGTTTTAGAGTTCTGTATTTCTCCTAAACACCATTCTAATAGAAACTTACCTTAGGGAAGTCTGAGTAATGTCTGACAGCATTAGTAATGTTTTAGAGTTCTGTATTTCTCCTAAACACCATTCTCATAGAAACTTACCTTAGGGAAGTCTGAGTAATGTCTGACAGCTTCTACCAGTAATGTTTTAGAGTTCTGTATTTCTCCTAAACACCATTCTCATAGAAACTTACCTTTGGGAAGTCTGAGTAATGTCTGACAGCTTCTACCAGTAATGTTTTAGAGTTCTGTATTTCTCCTAAACACCATTCTCATAGAAACTTACCTTAGGGAAGTCTGAGTAATGTCTGACAGCTTCTACCAGTAATGTTTTAGAGTTCTGTATTTCTCCTAAACACCATTCTAATAGAAACTTACCTTTGGGAAGTCTGAGTAATGTTTGACAGCTTCTACAAGTAATGTTTTAGAGTTCTGTATTTCTCCTAAACACCATTCTCATAGAAACTTACCTTTGGGAAGTCTGAGTAATGTCTGACAGCTTCTACCAGTAATGTTTTAGAGTTCTGTATTTCTCCTAAACACCATTCTCATAGAAACTTACCTTAGGGAAGTCTGAGTAATGTCTGACAGCTTCTACCAGTAATGTTTTAGAGTTCTGTATTTCTCCTAAACACCATTCTAATAGAAACTTACCTTTGGGAAGTCTGAGTAATGTCTGACAGCTTCTACCAGTAATGTTTTAGAGTTCTGTATTTCTCCTAAACACCATTCTAATAGAAACTTACCTTTGGGAAGTCTGAGTAATGTCTGACAGCTTCTACCAGTAATGTTTTAGAGTTCTGTATTTCTCCTAAACACCATTCTAATAGAAACTTACCTTAGGGAAGTCTGAGTAATGTCTGACAGCTTCTACTAGTAATGTTTTAGAGTTCTGTATTTCTCCTAAACACCATTCTCATAGAAACTTACCTTAGGGAAGTCTGAGTAATGTCTGACAGCTTCTACCAGTAATGTTTTAGAGTTCTGTATTTCTCCTAAACACCATTCTCATAGAAACTTACCTTAGGGAAGTCTGAGTAATGTCTGACAGCTTCTACCAGTAATGTTTTAGAGTTCTGTATTTCTCCTAAACACCATTCTCATAGAAACTTACCTTAGGGAAGCCTGAGTAATGTCTGACAGCTGTCTGACAGCTTCTACCAGTAATGTTTTAGAGTTCTGTATTTCTCCTAAACACCATTCTCATAGAAACTTACCTTAGGGAAGTCTGAGTAATGTCTGACAGCTTCTACCAGTAATGTTTTAGAGTTCTGTATTTCTCCTAAACACCATTCTCATAGAAACTTACCTTAGGGAAGTCTGAGTAATGTCTGACAGCTTCTACTAGTAATGTTTTAGAGTTCTGTATTTCTTTCTCCTAAACACCATTCTCATAGAAACTTACCTTAGGGTAGTCTGAGTAATGTCTGACAGCTTCTACCAGTAATGTTTTAGAGTTCTGTATTTCTCCTAAACACCATTCTCATAGAAACTTACCTTTGGGAAGTCTGAGTAATGTCTGACAGCTTCTACCAGTAATGTTTTAGAGTTCTGTATTTCTCCTAAACACCATTCTCATAGAAACTTACCTTAGGGAAGTCTGAGTAATGTCTGACAGCTTCTACCAGTAATGTTTTAGAGTTCTGTATTTCTCCTAAACACCATTCTAATAGAAACTTACCTTTGGGAAGTCTGAGTAATGTCTGACAGCATTAGTAATGTTTTAGAGTTCTGTATTTCTCCTAAACACCATTCTCATAGAAACTTACCTTAGGGAAGTCTGAGTAATGTCTGACAGCTTCTACCAGTAATGTTTTAGAGTTCTGTATTTCTCCTAAACACCATTCTCATAGAAACTTACCTTAGGGAAGTCTGAGTAATGTCTGACAGCTTCTACCAGGAATGTTTTAGAGTTCTGTATTTCTCCTAAACACCATTCTCATAGAAACTTACCTTAGGGAAGTCTGAGTAATGTCTGACAGCTTCTACCAGTAATGTTTTAGAGTTCTGTATTTCTCCTAAACACCATTCTAATAGAAACTTACCTTAGGGAAGTCTGAGAAATGTCTGACAGCTTCTACCAGTAATGTTTTAGAGTTCTGTATTTCTCCTAAACACCATTCTCATAGAAACTTACCTTAGGGAAGTCTGAGTAATGTCTGACAGCTTCTACCAGTAATGTTTTAGAGTTCTGTATTTCTCCTAAACACCATTCTCATAGAAACTTACCTTAGGGAAGTCTGAGTAATGTCTGACAGCTTCTACCAGTAATGTTTTAGAGTTCTGTATTTCTCCTAAACACCATTCTCATAGAAACTTACCTTAGGGAAGTCTGAGTAATGTCTGACAGCTTCTACCAGTAATGTTTTAGAGTTCTGTATTTCTCCAAACACCATTCTCATAGAAACTTACCTTAGGGAAGTCTGAGTAATGTCTGACAGCTTCTACCAGTAATGTTTTAGAGTTCTGTATTTCTCCTAAACACCATTCTCATAGAAACTTACCTTAGGGAAGTCTGAGTAATGTCTGACAGCTTCTACCAGTAATGTTTTAGAGTTCTGTATTTCTCCTAAACACCATTCTAATAGAAACTTACCTTAGGGAAGTCTGAGTAATGTCTGACAGCTTCTACCAGTAATGTTTTAGAGTTCTGTATTTCTCCTAAACACCATTCTAATAGAAACTTACCTTTGGGAAGTCTGAGTAATGTCTGACAGCTTCTACCAGTAATGTTTTAGAGTTCTGTATTTCTCCTAAACACCATTCTAATAGAAACTTACCTTAGGGAAGTCTGAGTAATGTCTGACAGCTTCTACCAGTAATGTTTTAGAGTTCTGTATTTCTCCTAAACACCATTCTCATAGAAACTTACCTTTGGGAAGTCTGAGTAATGTCTGACAGCTTCTACCAGTAATGTTTTAGAGTTCTGTATTTCTCCTAAACACCATTCTCATAGAAACTTACCTTTGGGAAGTCTGAGTAATGTCTGACAGCTTCTGCCAGTAATGTTTTAGAGTTCTGTATTTCTCCTAAACACCATTCTAATAGAAACTTACCTTAGGGAAGTCTGAGTAATGTCTGACAGCTTCTACCAGTAATGTTTTAGAGTTCTGTATTTCTCCTAAACACCATTCTAATAGAAACTTACCTTTGGGAAGTCTGAGTAATGTCTGACAGCTTCTACCAGTAATGTTTTAGAGTTCTGTATTTCTCCTAAACACCATTCTAATAGAAACTTACCTTAGGGAAGTCTGAGTAATGTCTGACAGCTTCTACCAGTAATGTTTTAGAGTTCTGTATTTCTCCTAAACACCATTCTCATAGAAACTTACCTTTGGGAAGTCTGAGTAATGTCTGACAGCTTCTACCAGTAATGTTTTAGAGTTCTGTATTTCTCCTAAACACCATTCTCATAGAAACTTACCTTTGGGAAGTCTGAGTAATGTCTGACAGCTTCTACCAGTAATGTTTTAGAGTTCTGTATTTCTCCTAAACACCATTCTCATAGAAACTTACCTTTGGGAAGTCTGAGTAATGTCTGACAGCTTCTACAAGTAATGTTTTAGAGTTCTGTATTTCTCCTAAACACCATTCTCATAGAAACTTACCTTAGGGAAGTCTGAGTAATGTCTGACAGCTTCTACCAGTAATGTTTTAGAGTTCTGTATTTCTTCTAAACACCATTCTCATAGAAACTTACCTTAGGGAAGTCTGAGTAATGTCTGACAGCTTCTACCAGTAATGTTTTAGAGTTCTGTATTTCTCCTAAACACCATTCTCATAGAAACTTACCTTAGGGAAGTCTGAGTAATGTCTGACAGCTTCTACCAGTAATGTTTTAGAGTTCTGTATTTCTCCTAAACACCATTCTCATAGAAACTTACCTTTGGGAAGTCTGAGTAATGTCTGACAGCTTCTACAAGTAATGTTTTAGAGTTCTGTATTTCTCCTAAACACCATTCTAATTTCACAGACTTCATCATGACCTACATAAAAATTAACATGAATTAATTGTCTTTTCATGTCAACAGTATTTTCAGAGTTATCTCCCATTATGACAACTTTACAGCTTGCTTGACAAATTTTCATTTTCATTTTTAATACATTATAATTAGAAACCTACAAATTCCTGAGGTAGTCGACCTAATTTCAAAGAGATCTATCACCTACTGATTTTCGCTGGATTAAAAAGAAACAGAACTTGCACCATTTCCAGACCTCACTCTCTATTTTAATTCTTTTTACCTTATGATCTTTTCAATACAAAGAAAATTGCAAACAACCAATCAATTAAAACAAGATCTTTACTAAATAAGGCGGAGTTAGATGGAGTTCATGAACCAAAAATTAAATTATTCACAGTCTAATGCAGTGGCTAAAGAGTCCATATATATATATATTAGATATAACTTGTGTCATTCTTAGTGATTGCTCACTTCTGTAAAGAGGTTTATTTTTGTAAAGTTTAATTCCACCATTTTAGGGTCAAACTTATTAGTGAGATTTGATATTCATGTTTTTCTTGTTTCTGATCCTGCTTTCCTATATCTAATAAATATTAAATATACACAAAAGGAATATTTTTTCTGATTTTATCCTAATCGCTAAATAAATGAAAATCAACCCCTTTGAGAAAATTTTTCACTGGCTTTATGTAAAGTCTCCAAGCTCTCTTGTATGCACTCACCCTAGCTGTTGGGGCACTAGCTCTGGCTTTCTGTAAAAGTCTCCTAGCTCTCTCGTACTCATTATTTTCTGACTCTAACTTAACAGCAGCTAACCAGATCTCTTCACTGTTAGGATTAGCCTGGAAAGCCAAAGCTAAAATACTTCTGGCAGCAGGCACATCTCCCTATAAAAATGAAAAAAATTATCATAAGAATTGGTTACTTTATAATTACCTTGCACAGATCCTAGAGAGGTATGAGGAGGACTAGCTGCGGAACCGTAGCTCTTACGTCCTTATGATGTTTTTTTTTACTATTTGCGGACCATGCTGCAGAACCGTAGCTCTTCGGTCCTTATGATATTTTTTGACTATTTGCAGACCATCCGCAGCTAGAGGAGAATTTGCTTACTCTTCAGGAGCACCTGAGATCACCCCTGGTTTTTGTTGGGGTTTGGTTGCTCGGTCTTTAGTATCTATGTAGACTGTTGTTTATTCATTGCTATTTTTTTTTGCCATAGCCTTGTTATAAAAATATTAAAGGAGATGTGGTATGATTGCCAATGAGACAACTATCCACCAAATTTCAAATGGAAGTGGATGTAAGCAATTATAGGCAACCATACAGCCTTCAACAATTAGAAAAATCCATACCGTGTGGTCGGCTAGTTAGTTTGTCTCACTCATGAGTTTGAATATTCCTAAGGTATCTTCTGCCTCATTTGTTTTAGTTCAAAATCATTCCAATCATATATTTTTGGCCATTTTTTTGGGTCATCTTTTCAGTTTAGAAACTGTCCTACCCCTATCAGATTAGTGATATCGGATGAGTGTACACAATAGAAAATATAAGGCTGCATAGTACATGTGTAATTCATTGTAAATGAAAACTAGTTGACTATATTTTGTGAACTGAAACAACATTTGTATCCCCTTCATTAATAAAAGTTATTCAGGTAAAGGAAAGTTAAAACAAATACATTTTAGTACTGGAAAGGTATCTTCATAGCAAATAAGAAAAAAATACTGATATAGTTAAATCATGTAAATTGGTGGGGATCTATATTATTCACTATGAAAATATTAAATTTAACTTACCGCCATCCATTTTGATTTTGCTCCCATCAACCATAAGACCTCAGCTTTAGGACAGTGAGCAACTGCTCTTTGTAACAATGCTTCTAAAGATTCCCTGTAAAATATAAGACTGGGATTATTATATACCTCCTCATTTTATGTTAAGATTACAAAAGTGTACAGCAGAAGTGTACAGCAAAAGTGTACATCATTTATTAATCTATGTCTAAGAACCACAATTTCTATATGGCCTTAGTTCATTCATAAAACTTTTATCACTTAATGATATGTAAAACACCAAATATAAAATCTAACCTGGATCCATGACTCTTTTCAAAGTAAGCTGCTCTCAACCAGATACTCTTCTTACTGAGAAATTCTGCCAAGGCAAATGCATAAATAGCTCTGGCACACTCCACTGCGGAGTGTGTGGCACACTGATAACAGAAAGAAAAAAGTGTTAACATAACCATAAACAGCTTAGCATATACACATTTCTGAGTGAAAAGCACATTTTTAACAGAAATAAAAGAAGTATTAACATAGGCATAAAGACCTCTGCCACACTTCACTGAATAATTGGAGGCATCTAATATAGATTATTGTTTACATTAGGAATACACCTTTTTGTTGTTGAGAGATGTGTGCCTGTTAAGATTGAAGAGCACATCAACAGAGATATAGATGTCAATTTTTTAAACTTCCAACATAGTCCAATGTGAGAAATCTCTCTCTGACAAAGATTTTGTGAAGAGAGATTTTCCAATGAACCAGTATTTCATGCTGTTATTTATAAGTATTTAACTTTCTTTTTGCAGTTTAGTTCTGAAGATTTAAAATAAATTAAGATTTATATGAATCCAATCAATCATTAATGAATTAATAAGTTAAAACAGTATGAAATGAAGCTTGGACACATAAAATTCATAAATTTATACAAGAGAATTAAAGATACTTACAATAAAAGATGGAGAAACGGTTTACTTTTACACCAAAATAGGATTTTTTTTATCTCCCTTACAGAAGACTTCTATTTTTTATAGTTCCGACTTACAGTTTCAGCATCCTCTAACCAAGTATGTTTTCTATCTTTATAGTTCAGACTTACAGATTCAGCATCCTCTAACCAAGTATGTTTTATAGTTCAGACTTACAGATTCAGCATCCTCTAACCAAGTATGTTTTATAGTTCAGACTTACAGATTCAGCATCCTCTAACCAAGTATGTTTTATAGTTCAGACTTACAGATTCAGCATCCTCTAACCAAGTATGTTTTATTGTTCAGACTTACAGATTCAGCATCCTCTAACCAAGTATGTTTTCTATCTTTATAGTTCAGACTTACAGATTCAGCATCCTCTAACCAAGTATGTTTTATAGTTCAGACTTACAGATTCAGCATCCTCTAACCAAGTATGTTTTATAGTTCAGACTTACAGATTCAGCATCCTCTAACCAAGTATGTTTTATAGTTCAGACTTACAGATTCAGCATCCTCTAACCAAGTATGTTTTCTATCTTTATAGTTCAGACTTACAGATTCAGCATCCTCTAACCAAGTATGTTTTATAGTTCAGACTTACAGATTCAGCATCCTCTAACCAAGTATGTTTTATAGTTCAGACTTACAGATTCAGCATCCTCTAACCAAGTATGTTTTATAGTTCAGACTTACAGATTCAGCATCCTCTAACCAAGTATGTTTTATAGTTCAGACTTACAGATTCAGCATCCTCTAACCAAGTATGTTTTATAGTTCAGACTTACAGATTCAGCATCCTCTAACCAAGTATGTTTTCTATCTTTATAGTTCAGACTTACAGATTCAGCATCCTCTAACCAAGTATGTTTTATAGTTCAGACTTACAGATTCAGCATCCTCTAACCAAGTATGTTTTCTATCTTTATAGTTCAGACTTACAGATTCAGCATCCTCTAACCAAGTATGTTTTATAGTATCTATCTTTATAGTTCAGACTTACAGATTCAGCATCCTCTAACCAAGTATGTTTTATAGTTCAGACTTACAGATTCAGCATCCTCTAACCAAGTATGTTTTATAGTTCAGACTTACAGATTCAGCATCCTCTAACCAAGTATGTTTTCTATCTTTATAGTTCAGACTTACAGATTCAGCATCCTCTAACCAAGTATGTTTTATAGTTCAGACTTACAGATTCAGCATCCTCTAACCAAGTATGTTTTATAGTTCAGACTTACAGATTCAGCATCCTCTAACCAAGTATGTTTTCTATCTTTATAGTTCAGACTTACAGATTCAGCATCCTCTAACCAAGTATGTTTTATAGTTCAGACTTACAGATTCAGCATCACCTAACCAAGTTTGTTTTCTATCTTTAAAGTTCAGACTTACAGATTCAGCATCCTCTAACCAAGTATGTTTTATAGTTCAGACTTACAGATTCAGCATCCTCTAACCAAGTATGTTTTATAGTTCAGACTTACAGATTCAGCATCCTCTAACCAAGTATGTTTTCTATCTTTATAGTTCAGACTTACAGATTCAGCATCCTCTAACCAAGTATGTTTTATAGTTCAGACTTACAGATTCAGCATCCTCTAACCAAGTATGTTTTATAGTTCAGACTTACAGATTCAGCATCCTCTAACCAAGTATGTTTTCTATCTTTATAGTTCAGACTTACAGATTCAGCATCCTCTAACCAAGTATGTTTTCTATCTTTATAGTTCAGACTTACAGATTCAGCATCCTCTAACCAAGTATGTTTTATAGTTCAGACTTACAGATTCAGCATCCTCTAACCAAGTATGTTTTCTATCTTTATAGTTCAGACTTACAGATTCAGCATCCTCTAACCAAGTATGTTTTATAGTTCAGACTTACAGATTCAGCATCCTCTAACCAAGTATGTTTTATAGTTCAGACTTACAGATTCAGCATCCTCTAACCAAGTATGTTTTCTATCTTTATAGTTCAGACTTACAGATTCAGCATCCTCTAACCAAGTATATTTTATAGTTCAGACTTACAGATTCAGCATCCTCTAACCAAGTATGTTTTATAGTTCAGACTTACAGATTCAGCATCCTCTAACCAAGTATGTTTTCTATCTTTATAGTTCAGACTTACAGATTCAGCATCCTCTAACCAAGTATGTTTTATAGTTCAGACTTACAGATTCAGCATCCTCTAACCAAGTATGTTTTATAGTTCAGACTTACAGATTCAGCATCCTCTAACCAAGTATGTTTTCTATCTTTATAGTTCAGACTTACAGATTCAGCATCCTCTAACCAAGTATGTTTTATAGTTCAGACTTACAGATTCAGCATCCTCTAACCAAGTATGTTTTCTATCTTTATAGTTCAGACTTACAGATTCAGCATCCTCTAACCAAGTATGTTTTATAGTTCAGACTTACAGATTCAGCATCCTCTAACCAAGTATGTTTTCTATCTTTATAGTTCAGACTTACAGATTCAGCATCCTCTAACCAAGTATGTTTTCTATCTTTATAGTTCAGACTTACAGATTCAGCATCCTCTAACCAAGTATATTTTATAGTTCAGACTTACAGATTCAGCATCCTCTAACCAAGTATGTTTTATAGTTCAGACTTACAGATTCAGCATCCTCTAACCAAGTATGTTTTCTATCTTTATAGTTCAGACTTACAGATTCAGCATCCTCTAACCAAGTATGTTTTCTATCTTTATAGTTCAGACTTACAGATTCAGCATCCTCTAACCAAGTATGTTTTATAGTTCAGACTTACAGATTCAGCATCCTCTAACCAAGTATGTTTTCTATCTTTATAGTTCAGACTTACAGATTCAGCATCCTCTAACCAAGTATGTTTTATAGTTCAGACTTACAGATTCTGCATCCTCTAACCAAGTATGTTTTCTATCTTTATAGTTCAGACTTACAGATTCAGCATCCTCTAACCAAGTATATTTTATAGTTCAGACTTACAGATTCAGCATCCTCTAACCAAGTATGTTTTATAGTTCAGACTTACAGATTCAGCATCCTCTAACCAAGTATGTTTTCTATCTTTATAGTTCAGACTTACAGATTCAGCATCCTCTAACCAAGTATGTTTTCTATCTTTATAGTTCAGACTTACAGATTCAGCATCCTCTAACCAAGTATGTTTTATAGTTCAGACTTACAGATTCAGCATCCTCTAACCAAGTATGTTTTCTATCTTTATAGTTCAGACTTACAGATTCAGCATCCTCTAACCAAGTATGTTTTATAGTTCAGACTTACAGATTCAGCATCCTCTAACCAAGTATGTTTTATAGTTCAGACTTACAGATTCAGCATCCTCTAACCAAGTATGTTTTCTATCTTTATAGTTCAGACTTACAGATTCAGCATCCTCTAACCAAGTATGTTTTATAGTTCAGACTTACAGATTCAGCATCCTCTAACCAAGTATGTTTTCTATCTTTATAGTTCAGACTTACAGATTCAGCATCCTCTAACCAAGTATGTTTTATAGTTCAGACTTACAGATTCAGCATCCTCTAACCAAGTATGTTTTCTATCTTTATAGTTCAGACTTACAGATTCAGCATCCTCTAACCAAGTACTGTGGATTCATTTTTATTCGTGGTATACCAATTTTCGTGGGTTTCGTGGGTCACAGCGAACCACGAACTTAAGAATTCAACGAAGAATTATCCCGAGAAATGTGTATGGAGTCGGATGTTTATTTCCGGTTATGTTATGCTGTTCTAGTATAGTGTTGACTAGCGATAGACATTGTAACATAACACGTGTTTTTATTGAAATAAGATACAAGTATTTTGATAAAATTAATAATAAATATATCAAATATCAGTGATAATTTACTTTTTAAAATTGATTAAAACTGTTCATGAAAAATAACTGCAAGTTGTTTATTACCGTGTCATAGTTTGGTTTACTGGTGATTAAAAGTCAATAGGATTAAGTACGGGGATATTGCCCGTAGGTAATATTGTTTATGACAGGAACATTTATTTTCACACCTTTAACTTATATTACTGTTAATTATATCGTGATTAGGGAAATGAGCTTTCAATCAAAGAGTTTTGAATGCCTTATAAAATTCCGACAAGAATTTATAAATTGTAAAACAAACAAATAATTTTTCTCTGCCCATTATTGTAATAGGAGTTTTCAATGAACACTTTAACCTAGAATGACCAAACGAGGATTTTGACAATTCAAAACTTTTTCAATGAATTCCTATTTTTTTGTTTGTTTTTTTATTGATCAAACCAAGGAGGTTATATGATTTTCTAAATCAAAAAGAAATCCACGAATTACGTATCTGATTTTTTTTTTTTTTTGTAATCAGCGATCCACGAATTTAAGTATACCACGAAACGTCTTTTTTTCTCTATCCACGAAAATTGATACCCACGAAAATAAATGAATCCACAGTATGTTTTATAGTTCAGACTTACAGATTCAGCATCCTCTAACCAAGTATGTTTTCTATGTTTATAGTTCAGACTTACAGATTCAGCATCCTCTAACCAAGTATGTTTTATAGTTCAGACTTACAGATTCAGCATCCTCTAACCAAGTATGTTTTCTATCTTTATAGTTCAGACTTACAGATTCAGCATCCTCTAACCAAGTATGTTTTATAGTTCAGACTTACAGATTCAGCATCCTCTAACCAAGTATGTTTTATAGTTCAGACTTACAGATTCAGCATCCTCTAACCAAGTATGTTTTCTATCTTTATAGTTCAGACTTACAGATTCAGCATCCTCTAACCAAGTATGTTTTATAGTTCAGACTTACAGATTCAGCATCACCTAACCAAGTATGTTTTCTATCTTTATAGTTCAGACTTACAGATTCAGCATCCTCTAACCAAGTATGTTTTATAGTTCAGACTTACAGATTCAGCATCCTCTAACCAAGTATGTTTTATAGTTCAGACTTACAGATTCAGCATCCTCTAACCAAGTATGTTTTATAGTTCAGACTTATAGATTCAGCATCCTCTAACCAAGTATGTTTTCTATCTTTATAGTTCAGACTTACAGATTCAGCATCCTCTAACCAAGTATGTTTTCTATCTTTATAGTTCAGACTTACAGATTCAGCATCCTCTAACCAAGTATGTTTTATAGTTCAGACTTACAGATTCAGCATCCTCTAACCAAGTATGTTTTCTATCTTTATAGTTCAGACTTACAGATTCAGCATCCTCTAACCAAGTATATTTTATAGTTCAGACTTACAGATTCAGCATCCTCTAACCAAGTATGTTTTATAGTTCAGACTTACAGATTCAGCATCCTCTAACCAAGTATGTTTTCTATCTTTATAGTTCAGACTTACAGATTCAGCATCCTCTAACCAAGTATGTTTTATAGTTCAGACTTACAGATTCAGCATCCTCTAACCAAGTATGTTTTCTATCTTTATAGTTCAGACTTACAGATTCAGCATCCTCTAACCAAGTATATTTTATAGTTCAGACTTACAGATTCAGCATCCTCTAACCAAGTATGTTTTATAGTTCAGACTTACAGATTCAGCATCCTCTAACCAAGTATGTTTTCTATCTTTATAGTTCAGACTTACAGATTCAGCATCCTCTAACCAAGTATGTTTTCTATCTTTATAGTTCAGACTTACAGATTCAGCATCCTCTAACCAAGTATGTTTTCTATCTTTATAGTTCAGACTTACAGATTCAGCATCCTCTAACCAAGTATGTTTTATAGTTCAGACTTACAGATTCAGCATCCTCTAACCAAGTATGTTTTCTATCTTTATAGTTCAGACTTACAGATTCAGCATCCTCTAACCAAGTATGTTTTATAGTTCAGACTTACAGATTCAGCATCCTCTAACCAAGTATGTTTTATAGTTCAGACTTACAGATTCAGCATCCTCTAACCAAGTATGTTTTCTATCTTTATAGTTCAGACTTACAGATTCAGCATCCTCTAACCAAGTATGTTTTATAGTTCAGACTTACAGATTCAGCATCCTCTAACCAAGTATGTTTTATAGTTCAGACTTACAGATTCAGCATCCTCTAACCAAGTATGTTTTCTATCTTCTTCTTCTATACCAACACTTATCACAGCTCGTCTGTAAATAAATAAATACAGAAATTTTCAAACAAACAAGTTCATTGTTGAAGGTGATCTATAATTGTAAACTGCTATGATGTCCTTTGGTCTCTGGTGGATAGTTGTTTCATTGGCAATCATACCACAGCTTCTTATTTTCATAAACAAATAAAACCAATTACTTGACCATTCTGGATGTCTACCTTCTTTAAAGACAGCATTTATACATAATAACACAGCAGGTTACTTCAAACTTGCATATCAACTTGACAGGAATGTGAAAACTTACATGACAGTCTGGTGGGTAACTGTCAATTAACATGATGACCTGACAGGTAACTGATTACATAATAGCTTCATGGGTAACTGACCATTTACATGACTGGGTGACAGATAATGAACTGCATAAATGATAGCCTGAGAGGTAACTGAGAACTTACATGATAGTTTGACTGGTAACTGACTACTTACATGGCTACCTAACAGGTAACTGAGAACTTACATAGGAACTTGACAGGTAACATACATACAACTAACATTGGAAACTGGCAGGTAACTTAAGAACCTTATGGGTAACTAAGAACTTACCTCCTAACCAGTCAGGTAACAACCAACAGATATATAAGCCTGACAGGTAACTGACAACTTATATGGTACCCTTGCAGTTACCTGACTACAGACATGACAGCCTGACTTGCAGTATATACATACATGATAGCTTGACAGGTAACTGAAAAATAACTAACAGTGTAACTGACTACTTAAATGGAAACATAACAAGTAACTTAGAACTGACAAGTGTGCAGGTAACTGACAACTTCCAGGTAGCCTAGTGGGTAACTGACAACTAACATGATAACATGACAGGTAACTGACAACTTACATGAAAGCCTGACAGTTAACGGATAATTTAATTAACAGCCTGACATGAACTTGACATCTAACATAGCCTGACAGGTAACTGACAACTTACATGAATGGTTACTGACAACTTACATTATGGCCTGACAGGTAACTGACAACTTGCATGATAGCCTGACAGGTAACTGACAACTTACATGACATCATGACTGGTTACTGACACCTTACATGATACCCTGACAGGTAACTGACACCTTACATGATAGTCTGACAGGTAACTGATAACTTACATGATAGCCTGACAGGTAACTGATAACTTAAATTATAGCCTGACAGGTAACTGATAACTTAAATTATAGCCTGACAGGTAACTGATTACTTAAATTATAGACTGACATGTGCATTTTTCTGACTACTTACATGATAGCAAGACAGGTAACTGACAACTTACATGATAGCCTAACAGGTAACTGACAATTAACATGATAGCCTGACAGTTAACGGACAATTTACATAACAGCCTGACATGTACTTGACATCTAACATAGCTTGACAGGTAACTGACAACTTACATGATACCCTGACATGTAACTGATAACTTACATTATAGCCTGACAGGTAACTGATAACTGACATGATAACCTGACAAGTTACTGATAACTTACATTATAGCCTGACAGGTGACTATACTTCCACTCTTCTCACAATCTTCAGCATCTTTTATCCACAAGTCTCTGTTAACTTCTACCATGTTAGCTCTCAAGGAGTTCAAAGCTGGAAATATTCACAATCTATCATGGAGTCCAGACATAAGGAATTTTACAACTACTTTGGATTCATCTATTTTTGTGGGTATCAATTTTTGTGGTTTGAGAAAAAATTGTATTTTCGTGGATATTTGATTTAGAGGTTTCGCCAAAGTCTGCATACAAATCTTTAAAAAATTTGTCCTTTTTTTAAACATTGAAATTTGTGGTTCACCCATACCCAACGAAATCCACAAAAATTGATAACCCACAAATAATAGTGAATCAACAGTATGTATTTCATCAAAACCTTTAAATATATTGTCTGTGGTCAAATACACATAGATATGAAAGAAGCAGCCAAAAGATTTATTTTTAAAATGTATACATGATATAGCCATCCATTTCTTATTTCTTGATAGTTTTACATGTTTTCATTGGAAAGCTATATAATTAATCTAGCTTGTTTGTCCATTGTGTAACAATCCCATTAATAAATGCACACAAGTATTTCTGAATTTACAGTAGTTGCTTACATCCACATCTCATGGACTCTGAGGGATAGTTATCTCATGGACTCTGAGGGATAGTTATCTCATGGACTCTGAGGGATAGTTATCTCATGGACTCTGAGGGATAGTTATCACATGGACTCTGAGGGATAGTTATCTCATGGACTCTGAGGGATAGTTATCTCATGGACTCTGAGGGATAGTTATCTCATGGACTCTGAGGGATAGTTATCACATGGACTCTGAGGGATAGTTATCTCATGGACTCTGAGGGATAGTTATCTCATGGACTCTGAGGGATAGTTATCACATGGACTCTGAGGGATAGTTATCTCATGGACTCTGAGGGATAGTTATCTCATGGACTCTGAGGGCTAGTTATCTCATGGACTCTGAGGGATAGTTATCTCATGGACTCTGAGGGCTAGTTATCTCATGGACTCTGAGGGATAGTTATCTCATGGAAATAATACTACATCTACTTATTTCTATAAAGAATTATTTCAGAGTAAATCACTCAACAAATCACCAGCACTTACTGTAAAAATACAACATCAAGAGTCTTAACTGAATCACAATGTTACTCTACAATATTTGACAAGTGGTTATTGTTATAGTTAAAAAGTAAGTTAGTATAGAAAATTCTCTAAAATGTAGTAAAGGGGAAGGGGGGGGGATAGGAAGGGATGTCATCCCTAATTCCTAGCTATATAGGGAAAAAAATGCTGAATCTCAAATTCCGAGAAAAGTAAACGCCAAATCCCTATTTCCTCCCAAAAAAAAAAAAAAATAAGTATTCTTTCCTGGATCCAAAAAAATTAATCATTTATTCCAGGGTCCCGATAAGTGTAAATCCAGAATTTCCGAAAGAACAAAGCCCAATCCTGATGTCCCAAAAAAGGTCCTTCATCCCCTCTAGAATGTCACTGCACAATAATTGACAAGTGGTTATAGTTATTGTTCAGAAAATTCTCTCAAATAAAGCAAGCAACTTCTTCTTGAGTTCATGAATGCATTGTTCATGTTGTTTCTACAAAAACAGCTAGGAATGAAAAGAGATTGAAGTGAATGTTATTGAATATAATACATCTTCACAAAGGGCTATTCCATTAAAATGGATGTGGGAGGGCAGGATAGGACTTTCCAAAATCCCCACACACAAAATCATACTTTCTTGGAGTAATTTGGCATACATCAAATAGACATACAAACATAAATGACCCATGTCCTAAAAATAAAACAATTCTCTCTACCCTCCCACATTCATTGTAATGGACTCTACCTAATCTGATTTTACAATCTAACCTCTGTCTACGATTTTGTCCACCATATGGTTGTTTCCGTTAGCTTCCTCCAGTTTAGCAGCTGTTATCCAGATCTGACGATCGGTGGGGATATTCTCTCTGGCTTTGTTTAGGACTTTCCTGGCATTATCATAGGTCTCAAGTCTGGCTAAGGCTAACCACAACTATAAATAGGGAAAAAGTATCACATGACTAGAGGTCAGGCAAGGTTAACCAGAACTTTAAACATAAAGAAATTAATCCTAAATGTGAAATTTTACTCGTATGAACAAGAAAATGTGTTCATACTTACACTATCACATTTCCATGTTCAGTGAACTGTGAAATCAAGGTCAGAACCCTAATTTAGAATACATTTTCAAAATTTACATTCAACACATTAAATGAAAATGTGTACAACATCGACTTATATTTAGTTTCAACATTTTGTCAAATATTATCAAGTTGGTATGACCTCAGATTCTTGCTAACCTACCAAAAAACCAAACATAATTGGATGATTAAACTTTACAGATTGCACGGACTTTTTGCGATCTGGTCAATAGATGTAGTATACATTTAGCTTTGTAAAAAAATATATTTATATTGTTTTATTTTATGTATTCTACTCATTTCGCTTCTATGTTATTTGTAAATTTATGTGTATTTGTGGCTCCTGTTACGCAGGAAATCTGCGTCTGAGTGTATTTTGAATAAACAGTAAACAGTATATAATAAGGTCCTGCATTATAATCATATATTACAACATAAAGTACAAAATTCAATTATAAAATACTAATACAAATATTAACTATTATACTGTTGTTGTGATTGATAAAACATTCTTCAATATATGGTCAGATCATATGTTTTCGTATGTCATATGAAATTGTACTATGAATGCCCTTTCAATGGAAATTGTGACATCACAATGCATTCTTAATAGCATGAAAATCCATGAGACAAAGATGTTTTTTTTAAATTTAATAGTTATAATTTGTAGAAAAAATATTATATAAATACTTCCAGATATTCCATAGTATTCAGTTCCAGTTTTGGAACAAATAAGTAGGTGCAAGAATTAGTAACTTACCTCTACACTTGTTGGACAACATTCTACAGCCCGACTCAACATGATCCTAGCATCCTCTTCATTTTCTAATTCCACAGCTTGTTTCCACAATCTGACAGAGTTTGGTATGTGTTCCAAAGCTTAAAACATAAAGTTTCACCTATTATTATATCTTCCTTTTATAATACAAAAACCTGTTTCCACTACCTGCCTAAATTTACTATAAAGATTGGTAGATTGTTATATAACTTTGTCACTGATGCAAAATTTTTCTCCACTTTTCTGGAACACTTTGGATTCATTTACTTTCGTAGGTAACATTTTTTGTGGATTGAGGAAAACTAGCATCTCCCTGGATAATTGATTTTGTGGTTTTGCCAAAGCGTGCTTTTGATTGAGTTAAGCCATTTCAATTGATATTTTATAGTGTGTCTTTCTATGTTGTGATGTTACACTATTGTTTCAGATAAGGGTGAAGGTTTGGAACCATTAAAACGTTTAAACCCGCTGCAATTGTTTGCACCTGTCCTAAGTCAGGAATCTGATGTTCAGTAATTGTCGTTTATTGATGTGGTTCATAAGTGTTTCTCGTTTTTCGTTTTTTATATAGATTAGACCGTTGGTTTTTCCGTTTGAATGGTTTTACACTAGTAATTTTTGGGGCCCTTTATAGCTTGCTATTCGGTGTGAGCCAAGGCTCCGTGTTGAAGACCGTACTTTGACCTATAATGGTTTACTTTTATAAATTTTGACTTGGATGGAGAGTTGTCTCATTGGCACTCATACCACATCTTCTTATATCTATATATTCACATAAAAAATATGTAATTTGTTGTTTAAATTTGTAGTTCCCCTGTACCGACCAAATCCACGAAATTTGGTATCAAGCAAATAATAATGAATTCACTGTATAAGTTAATTCATTGATAGCATTAGACCCACTTTTCAAAGATTTTAATTCGTTCATTACTTAAAAACAAAATTTGCACCCAGCTCCATGCCCTTTTCAACAGACTAAGAATTTTCACTATAATGTAGTCTTACCTTTTCTAAAGACTCTTTTCTTTGCCTTCAGTTCTGTTTCTAAATCAGCAGCTTTGATCCATATTCTGACAGAGGAGGGCAGTTGTCTTGCCGCTTGTGCTATAACTGCTTTGGCCTGGTCAGCTGGCTATTAAAATTCAATGATTCATCCTTTTAGTTATTTTTCTCTTTTTCAATCTCTCTAACATCTGCTTTTTCTTAAAAGATTTTTGGCACATTTATTTCCTATGGTCTTTTAAGAATTTTAAAATGATACATTGGTTGGTATGCAAATAAAATATTGAAAAAAACATCAAACAATTTGCCTCAAAATCAATTACATGTACATGTATATACACTTGATTTATTTATTAGTTGTAATTGGCTTTCAGTAACTGTGAGTAATCATATAGATGTACATTTTCTGCATTGTTTTTATGTTATTTGGTTTATTTGTGCCTCATATCAATTTAGTGAGTTAAGCCATTTGCAACTAATTTTTACATTTTGTTCATATATTCTGCTGTAACACCACTGTCCCAGGTTAGAGGAAAGTTTAATAAGTGCTCACAAACATGCTTAACCTGCCACTTTCTTTATTTGGCTGTCCCAAGTCAGGAGCTTGTAATTCAGTTGTCAATGATTCATGTCTTTCATATTTGTTTTTGTATATTGTTTTGTATAAATTAAGACTGTAAGTTGTCTAACTTGAATAGTTTCACATTTTCCTTGTGTGGACCTTTTATAGCTGAATTTACGGTATAAGTTTTTCTCATTGTTGCAGGCCATACAGTGACCTATAATTGTTTTTATCTTCGTCATTTGTACTCAGGTAGATAGATATCTCATTGGCAATCATACCACTTCTCCATATCTTTACATTCTTAATTCAAGTTAAGATTTGTAAAATACCCTTTCTGATTCATGAGTTATAATTCAATTCATATGTACAAGAAGGCCAGGATCTCTGGACACACAGAAGGCTGGGTGACTACTTCACCTATTGGGTGTTCATTTGGCAGTAGTGAAGATTTTTTAGCTTACTATACAGTATGGTTCCTGTTCCAAGTTGAAGCCTGAACAGAGACCTATTTATTTTTTTTGGTCTCTGATTGGAACTCATACCACATCTCTTTATCTTTATATATATTCCCTCTTCTATTAGCAGGGGAATGTATTAAACACAAACACTGCCTACCATTAATCTAGCAGCCTCTAACCATACATCTTCACTCTTAGGACATTCCTCACAGCCTTTCATGATGAGGTTCCTAGCTGTCTGTAACTTTCCTGTTACCTCCTCTAATCTAGCTGAGGCTATCCATGCTGGAGGATGTTTAGGGTTGGTTTCTCTCACTGACTTCAGCAGTAATCTGGCTTTCTTCACATCACTTAGAGATAAATATAAAATATTCGTTCATTGCAGGAAATTATAAAATTTATTAAAATTTGAAGCAAAATGAGACTTGCCAAGGTTTACTTCTGTTTTCTAGCGAGTACAAGCAAAAAGTTTTACTGGTTGTTGTGCTAACCAACTCGTAATTAAAGTATAAGAAAACAAAAAGTATGTATCTGACGGATTGGAAAAACTTATCACTGCAAAGCTGCTGACTACATATCAAGTCATTCTGTTCAATGCTTTTTTTATGGAAAGTGTAACAAAAAAGTTTAGGTAATTTCAACCTATTGAAAATTTATAAGTACCTGAGAAATATGAGATAGAATTTTTTTTAGACAAAAAGACAGATGGACGAGGATGCAATATAGCCAAGACTTTTAGAAGATATAGTTCCTTAAATTTTCTACTTTGTTTACATTAAAACTTTGAAAATTCAGTGTAAAAAAGGGGAATAATTAATCCAAGAATTTAAATATAAAAAAACACTGATAATTAACTCATATACTACATGAATTTGTGAATAACTGTGTTGTTCATTCATTCCTTGGATGTTTTTTGCAATATTTTCTTGGACTAGTTATTCTATAACCAATCAGATTAACATTGATCTCTATCACTCAGGAAGATCAGATTGTAACACAGCTAGCTTAAGTTTATCATGTCAACTATTATGGGACAAATATATGATGATAAATAGTAAATGAACTATATTTAAAAGACTAGATGAACATCTTACGTAAATGGCCTGTTGTTCAGTGGTTGTCGTTTGTTGATGTGGTTCATAAGTGTTTCTGGTTTCTTATATAGATTAGAACGTTGGTTTTCATGTTTGAATTGTTTTACACTAGTCATTTTGGGGCCCCTTATAGCTTGCTGTTCGGTGTGAGCCAAGGCTCCAAGTTGAAGGCCGTACTTTGACCTTTTTATACATTGTGACTTGGATGGAGAGTTGTCTCATTGGCGCTCATACCACATCTTCTTATTTATATATGTTATAATAAAGAAGAAAATTCAGGTCTATGGTATATGTAATAATACAGAAAAAACTACAGGTAAACACTTTCACTTACTTAATATCACCTCCATGTGAGGGTAGCATAGACTGTAAATCCGTGAGGTACCCTTTGGGATCAACCACTGTCTGCCCACTCACAGAGTCTGATACCTATAAATAAAATTCATTTTGTAGTCTAACTTTACTATAAGTTAAAGATAATATGGTGTTAGCATAAAAAACAATACTGTTTGTCCAACAGGTCATTCTAGCCATGTAAAATATAATGATCTACAAAATTAATCTACTTCGTATCAAAGCAGCTTCTAATATTACTTGCGCAAGTTGAATATCCATTCACTGACACTACCTGTATAAATTTAATATCCATCAACTGATATTACCTGTGTAAGTTTAATATCCATCAACTGACATTACCTGAGTAAGTTTAATATCCATCAACTGTCATTACCTGTGTAAGTTTAATATCCATCAGCTGACATTACCTGAGTAAGTTTAATATCCATCAACTGACATTACCTGTGTAAGTTTAATATCCATCAACTGATATTACCTGTGTAAGTTTAATATCCATCAACTGACATTACCTGAGTAAGTTTAATATCCATCAACTGTCATTACCCGTGTAAGTTTAATATCCATCAACTGACATTACCTGTATAAATTTAATATCCATCAACTGATATTACCTGTGTAAGTTTAATATCCATCAACTGACATTACCTGAGTAAGTTTATATCCATCAACTGACATTACCTGAGTAAGTTTAATATCCATCAGCTGACATTACCTGTGTAAGTTTTATATCCATCAACTGACATTACCTGTGTAAGTTTAATATCCATCAACTGACATTACCTGAGTAAGTTTAATATCCATCAACTGACATTACCTGTGTAAGTTTAATATCCATCAGCTGACATTACCTGTGTAAGTTTTATATCCATCAACTGACATTACCTGTGTAAGTTTAATATCCATCAACTGACATTACCTGAGTAAGTTTAATATCCATCAACTGACATTACCTGAGTAAGTTTAATATCCATCAACTGACATTACCTGGGTAAGTTTAATATCCATCAACTGACATTACCTGAGTAAGTTTGATATCCATCAACTGTCATTACCTGAGTAAGTTTAATATCCATCAACTGTAATTACCTGTGTAAGTTTAATATCCATTAATGTATTTCTAGCTTCACCAATCTTCTTCATATCAATATCCCCTGGTGTTGAGGTACCCAGAGGGGTAATTGCTCCAAAGGGTGTGTTGATTCCTCCATATTTCTGTTTAAAAGAAATTGAAAGAATTTTTTAAAGGGATCATGCAATATGAGTGGGGTATACTTCAATGAGACTACAACCAAAAAAAAGTATATGATATTTTAACATGTTTAATGAAGGACAAAGTTAAAGAACAAATATAATGCCCCCTTATAAGGCAAAAAGCTTTTAGTGACCTGCTGCCATATTTTTTTTTCTGTTTGCTATAAAGGAAGATTCTTTTCTGTTATGAATTTAGACAAAAATATGGTCTTTTAACAATCCATTTTTTTGTAACTATGACCATGATCTCTGATATAGTTACATCAAAATCAATAGCAATCTTCTTTTCATTATATGTGAGCACATTTTATTAAGGATCCAGAAACCCCTTTCCCGCACAAGTTTTAGTCTTTTTTCTAGTAACTATGACCTTGAAATTTGACATGGTAACCTCAAAATTAATAGGGATCTTCATCTCGTTATATGACCTTATATAACCACGTTTACCAGTAAGGTTAGAAAACCAATAAACAGTATTTGAGTTACCAACTGGAAATGAAAGTGACTAACAAATTGGCTTATGGATGGACAGACTGGCCGACAGGTCAAAAACAATATTTTCAGATAATTTTTAGTCTCTATGACAAGGTCTATCTATCATTTAAAATGTTACCTGGTCCCGATCTGATATTGATGTAGCATTTCCTGTCCTGGCAACTGCCCCTGCTAATACACTATCTGGCAGTGGGGTAAATCTGGAAAAATGTATGGGAGATTTCAATTTCTGGTGTGTAATTAAGTTTCACAAGAATATAATTGCAATGTTGTATGTTACATCTTATTTCATTGGTAGACAAAAAGTTTATACATTTCGAAATTGTTGATTGAATTTTATATTGAAATATTTTTTTAGTGCATGGTACTTGAATTACAAGTAATAAATGACTGTATTCAGTCAGCAGAGTTCACACACACTCCTTTCACTCACAAATTTATTGAGTTTTTTGCATGCCAATCTCTGTTTCCTGGTTGTTATTTTTAACTTTGTCAGAGAAAAGAAGGGGTACAATATATGAATTCATGACAGATATTGGCTTTGAACTAGCTGTCAGCAACTGTGAGTACTCTCAGATCTGTACTTAGTGTCTTTTTTGTTGTGGGGATGTATAAATACCTTGCCATATGCATGTTCAGTCTGTGTTCTTGTTACTAGTTTTTCTGCTTTGTATCTATCTGAAGAGTTAAGCCCTTTTCAACTGGTTTTTGTAGTTTGTTTATATGTTGAGCTTTAACACCACTGTCCCAGATAAGGGGAGAGATGGGTGCCCACAAACATATTTAACACCGCCACATTCTGTATGTGCCTGTCCCAAGTCCAGAGACTGTAGTTCAGTGGTTGTCATTTGTTGCTGTATATCATATTTATTTTTTATTCAGTGTTTTGTACATAAATCAGGCAGTTAGTTTATTTGTTTCAATTGTTTAACATTTGTCATTTCTGGGCCTTTTATAGCTAACTACACGGTATGGATTTTGCTCCTTGTTGAAGGACATACAGTAACCTATAGTTGTTAACTTCTATGTCATTTGGTGTCCGGTTGAGAGTTGTCTCATTGGCAATCCTACCACATCTTCTTATTTTTATAGTTAAACAGTAGTTCAACTACTTAAATCACTTGGCCACCTAAGCCCCAGACACACATATTTGACAAAAGCAGACAATATATAACATACTGATCTTTGCGTGCCAGTCTTTGTTTCCTGTTCCTAGCATCACCCACCTCTGGGATATTTAACCATTGGTCTTCTGATACCTCAGCTAAGTTTCTCTACAATAAATAATACACATATATTTAATTACATGTAAACACAATAAATACACATAGATCTAATTACAGGTAAACATTACATACATTTCTGGGGTTAAGATATTAAGACCTTTCTTCACAGGTTTGACTGTACCTTTAAATCAGAAAACTGTTGCTGGATTTTGGGACGTTCTTGACGGTATTTTTCTAAATCTTCTCTTAGTTTCAGTTCTCTCCTTTCTTTCCTCTTTTCATCCATTCTTTTGTCAATAGCATCATAAATCTGATCAGCCTCTTTGTCATCTTCATCATAAGGATCTTTTCCACATAAACTTCCTCCATAACCAGAGAACTGAAAAATACAAGGGATTTTACCATTATTTCACAAAAATTTCCTTCACAACTTAAGAACTGAAAAATACAAAACCCTCCATAAACGGAGAACTAATCAAAGTGCTTGTGAGTACTGAAGGGTAAAGATTGCTTTCATTTTGCAATTTTGTGAATTTTTAAATAAAACATTGAATTGAAATTTGCTAGGGAAGTTAAAATTTTGAGTTGGAGTTATCTTCCTTTGTTCATGATTGTACATTTGTAGTTGAACCTATTTTTATAACAGATTCATACACTATGCATTACTTATGTAATTTTTAATATCGTGATGCACAATAATGCATTTTTCTAAGGGTGACAAGTCTTGCACATGGACAAGTAAAGTCCTTTTTTGTGAAGTATTGGGTCAAACAAGTGTAACTGTACCTTGATCTAACAGTAACAGTGATGTCTCTGAGTTAGAAACTACACGAGGAGACGTTTTGTTGTTGTGTATTGCATCACTGAGGTCGTATGCATAACCCTTTAAATTTGCATAAATTAAAAGAGGAATAAAATACGGCATGTTTCATCATTTTGAAATAAAGTTATGTAAACCAATTAATAAACTGTGTTGAGCTTCTTATTGCATGTACAAGATATCGTTTGTATTGTTCAAATTGCTGCTGTTTGGATGAGTGTAAGTAATACACAACAAGATAATGTGTATTCACCTGGTTTACGATATGAGGATCAAAAAGAGGAAACCATGAATTCTGTTGGTCTTTACAGAGAGAATGTATGGCTTCACTTGGGTAAAAATCGGAAGTTTAGCCAGGAAAACAAAAGAAAGGATAACGCCCATTACATTCTGTGAGTAAGATGGTTTCAAAAAATCGGAAGTGCAAAAAAAAAAAAAAAAAATCGAGATTGTTCATTCGCTGAGTATATTTCTTAAATAGGCTGTATGGCTTCAAATCTAAATTACGTTATTTAGTTTTAATTCCTTTTTTAAACATTTTTTTTTAATTCTGCATTCCTATAAATTATACGCTTTACCACTTTTGCAAATCTATTAATATCTTTATCTGCCATTTCCTACCGAAAAGTTAACAGTAAAATCGATCTTTCAAATAAGATTATCAATTAACCCATGTTGATCCCCATTTTCCATGCGCAAACTCAGTAAACATAAATCTATATTTAACAAACGTTGACCAAATCAGCTGATCGATTATAAATGGATTATATGTTTTATTTGGATAAAAATAGACAGATTCTCGGGTCAACAGTGTTATTTGTCTTCTTTAATGAATAAAATAATATCTGTTTGGGAAAATCTAGGTCAGAATGGTTAAAACGTTAAATTTGATGCACAGCAAATCGCCATATTGTTTTTATTGCTTAACAGGTGTTTACAGGTGAGATTTGTGTACATGGCCTTTATGGCTTTAATCAAGACAATAACGACACCCAAGCCGAATTCAAACTTCCTGGACATTGATTACTATCCTTACTATGTAAACAAACCTAGTGGCTTGAACCCAGACTTACCCCACGCTGTGACTCGACAGAGTCCTGTACATTGTTTTTACTTACATTATAGAATGAACAACAGACTAATGATAAATATTATTAAATCACTAACACAAATCAATAAAATTTTTATTTTGTCTCAAACAAATCTATTTTTCTTGATGACCTGAAAACAAAAATAAGTTCAAAATGGCGACCGATAAAACCCTGATCTCAATGAAATGACCGAAATTATTTCTGTAAAAAAAAAAAAAAAGACCTAAATCCCAATAAATCATTTCGGTCTTTTCAGTTTCCAAATCGGTCATGTCTGGCATACATGACCGTTTCCGGACCCTTGGTTTTGATTGCATTTCTTGCAATCTCTATCCAAAAAATGCAAGAATTTATTGCAGTACAAGCATTTGATACTAATCTGTAGACCCTCTCAAGTGGTTGTTACCTGAGAGACCATGAGTAAACAATGTCTAGACAACATTTGCAAAACTTTTAATATGCAGTTTCTGGAACCGCCCCGACAGGGAACTCATATATATGTTTCATTTTTTATATTTAAACAAAAGGAAAATATATTAACTGATTATTTTTTATATATGATATAAAAACAAGCTTGACAAAAAAGTGAGGAAAACTGATTATTTGAGTGAATTTTCAAAGTCCAAGGACCATAACTCTGCACAAAATCATCAGACCGGAACAAAATTCAAACTTGAACTGTAACTTGTCATGATAAAACTATATACCAATTATCAAATCAATATCTTAAAGCATGAAGAAAAAAACTGTGGAAATTTGATTTGCTGGACTGACGGATGGACGGAGTGCAAACCTAAAGTCCCCTTCGACTTCGTCGGTAGGGGAATAATAAGGAGATGTGACATGGTTTCTAACAAGACAACTACAGTTCTCCATACAGTATATATAGTCAACTTTTTGTATATATGATGTTTGAATGTCACAAACTTTGAATCTTTAACATGCTTAAGTTAAATGACAATAGTAATTTGTTATTTTTTTACCTCATCATAGTTAGCATCGTTTAAATCTTCCTCTTCCTCCTCGTCTGTTTTCTGTTTCTTATTGTGGGCATGTCTATCATCACTATGGAAATAAAAATTACAATAACATGAATAAACATAAGTGCAAACTGTACATAATCACATTTGTGTTTCGTTTGAAGATAACTCCAGAATGATATACCCAATGCAGCAAACTAATAATCATGATTCTCAATATGCATATGTCACATGTACATTAAGTGTTGCTGATTACATTAATAAGTGTTGCTGATTACATTAAGTGTTGCTGTTTACATTAAGTGTTGCTGTTTACATCAAGTGTTGCTGTTTACATTAAGTTTTGCTGTTTACATTAAGTGTTGCTGTTTACATTAAGTACATGTTTTCAAAGATTTAGAGCTTGACATGTTTTAAAGACACCTGTCTGTTGCTGAAGACTGTATGTTGCCCTCTTGACGTCTTTTGTTTTCATTCCTTGGGTTTCTGTCTTATCTCCTTTTACTTGTATATGTACCGGTATTGGATTTGTATAAACACATGGTTCACTACAGCTAAAGTTGGATTTGTCTCGTCTATCAATCCTTGGTGGAAGACGATCCACTGTACTGGTCCTATAGATCAGAAATGTCATCTCTTCTCTTTTATCATAGGAGTTGAACATTACCTTGGAAAAATGATTTGATCTTTTGAATTCAATTCTTAACAAATCATCTATGATTTATTTAAGTAGGAAGGAGTGTGGTGCCCACTGTAGACAGGTAGAAATGACAAAATGCACATGACCTGTAGTGTATGTACTTACGATATATCATCTGCATCTCTTGCTGGACCAATATCAGATCTTGTTGTGAAACCAGTGGCTCTGAAATAGAAAAATGAAGTTTCTCATACTTTACTTCGTTATACATGTACATGTTATAGGATATCTGAAAGCTGCCTGATTTTTTTCTTTGAAACAGTCATTTTTTTTTGTCCACGTGGCAATGTATGACATACATGACGTACGAACGAAATAGCCTGTTATTATTCTACATTTTCTCTTCTTTCTATCAAAAATATCATTATGTAAATCGAGCACCAAATCAAAATCAAAGGGAAGCCTTATATATTATCTCATTATAATGTGTAATGTAAGAATGTGTCTTGTGTTTAGTATTTGTCTTACTATACAAATCAATGGTAATATGGAGGTACAGTATCAACCTTATACATCTTTGATAAAGTTAGCCATCCATGCCTGCTTCACAAGTCACTGGGGTGAGACGGAAAAATCACAAATGATACCCGATTTTAGGTACAATAACCGTAAATGGGAATAGTAATTTATGAGGATCATCCGCATCCTGTTTTAAAATTACTATATCATGTATATATTAAAATCAAATTGCTGTTAAATTGGAATCCTTAAATTGTTATAAGGCCAATTAAAATTAATTGATAGATTTTCATCCCCCACCCAACCCTCTGAAATCGTCACGTCTGGATTTTTTTTTATTTTAAAAAAATTTACAATTTTCGAATTTTGTTCATTTCTGTTACCTGTAACCGCCTATAATTTCGTTTCATTTAAAAATTTCTGTTTCAAATATTGTTTTTCTTATTTCTTCGAGTAATTTAACGAAAATAATTAAGTTGACATATTCTGCTGCTATATGATGACAACATTATCTTCTGAGAATAGAGATTGATTGCGGGAAGGGCATGAAATATTTGGTAAGTTTTATGGCAGTGTCCAAGAACACAAATTGTGTTATGTCACAAATTTTAGTGATTAGAAAAATGTTGATTTTTTATTCATGTTATTTATATGATGACTTTGTGTCAGGAAATTTGAACTGTAAATGATATTCAAAGCGCAAGAATCGTGAAACACATTTGTGCGAATCATGACCGTAATATGTTGAGTACAAAAAGTTGGCCAACGTACAAAATGTATCATAGCAAACCCCTTCATTTACCTCAAGGCTGTAGTTTTTTGTTGACAAACAGCAAACACTCTCTGTCCCCACCCCCTAGATAGAATCATCAAAAAACTTCTTCTTTTTGGTTGTGTTCTTGTTTTATAGTGTCATTATAGGTTTCTGACACAGAATAAATGTAGTCAAAGAACTCAAAATTGGTTATTATATGATTTGAATTTTTATTCAATTGAAGATTTCTCGCTTTTGTGCAGTACACTGTGCTGTTGCACAATACTTAGTAAATCTGATTTCAGACTATATACAAAGAATTAGCAATTGTGGCCCCCAATTTTTCTTTGAAAATTGACAATTTCTTAAATCTTGATGAAGAAAAAAAATTGACAACCCCCCCCCCCCCCACCCCCCCCTTTTCCAAAAATAAATATTTGAAGAAATTTTCTTGTTAATTTCTTAAATCTTGAGGATAAAAATTGTCCCCACCCCCTTTTTCCAAAAATTATAACATTTGAAGAAAATTTTCTTTTTGTAAAATGTGGTACATTTTAAGAGACATCAATACACTTAAACACAAGTTATTGTCTGAAAACTAGAAAAATTCGTTAGGGTTCCGCGGAACCCAGTGTCTCGCCTACTTTTTCTGTTAATCGCAGGCGCAACAAAAATGAGGAAGTAAATCAATAAAAATATTCCTCTTGATACTATCTTTTGATTGTAAGAAGCTTCTGTCCAAGGTTGGTAAAAATCTCGGATAGTTTATGAATCTAATAAATGTTTAAAAACTTTAACTGCAGACTGAATGTAATGTTAACTGGAAGAAAACAAAATTTCCTTCTAGATACTAGCATTTGATCATAAACAAGCTTCTGTCCAAGTTTGGTACAAATCCAAAATAGTTTAAGAAAGTTATTAAAATTTTAAAAACTTGAACCACAGAGTGAATGTGTTGTTTCCTGGCAGAAAATCTAAGTCCATTAAAAGTAAAATACGGAAAAAATAGATTTATTTTTTTACAAAATTTCCTTCTAGATACTAGCTTTAGATCATAAACAAGCTTCTGTCCAAGTTTGGTACAAATCCAAAATAGTAAAAGAAAGTTATTAAAATTTTAAAAACTTTAACCACAGAGTGAATGTGTTGTTTCCTGGCAGAAAATCTAAGTCCATTTAAAAGTAAAATAAGGAAAAAATGGATTTTTTTTTTTACAAAATTTACTTCTGGATACTATCTTATGATCATAAACAAGCTTCTGTCCAAGTTTGGTAGAAACTCAGGATAGTTTAAGAAAGTTATTAAAATTTTAAAAACTTTAACCACAGAGTGAATGTAATATTTCCCGGCAGAAAAACTAAGTCCATTTATAAGTAAAATACGGAAAAAATGGAATTTTATTTTTACAAATTTACTTCTGGATACTATCTTATGATCATAAACAAGCTTCTGTCCAAGTGTGGTAGAAATCCAGGATAGTTTAAGAAAGTTATTAAAATTTCAAAAACTTTAACCACAGAGTGAATATTTGTGGACGCCGCCGACGCCGCCGCCGACGGAATGTAGGATCGCTATGTCTCGCTTTTTCGACTAAAGTCGAAGGCTCGACAAAAATGTTTGTTTTAGACCCTTTTTGGCCCCTAATTCCTGAACGGTTTGGACAATTATCCCCAAAATGAATCCCAACCTTCAACTTGTGGTATTGAACCTTGTGGTAAAATTTCAGAGCAATCAATATACTTATCAACAAGTTATTGTCCTAAAACTAGAAAAATGCTTGTTTTGGGCCCCTAATTCCTAAACAGTTGGGACCATCACCCCAAAAAACAATCCCAACCTTTCTTTAGTGGTATTGAACCTTTTGGTAAAATTTCATAGACATCCATACACATAAACTTAAGTTATTGTCTGGAAAACAAATGTCTTCGGACGACGACGACATGATAGCAATATACGACCCCAAAATTTTTTTGCGGTCGTATAAAAATTATGTAGAATCTGAATTTCCTGATATATACTTGTTATAAGATTATTATTATCTTTGCATATGAAGAACACATTACAAAAGTGTTTTAAAGGAAATAAAAATAAAAAAAAAAAATCCTCCCACCCACCCAATTTCTTTTCTGGTTAAAATCTACTAATCAATTTTAGTTGGCCTAATCATATATATTGCATTATGATACAATTGTATGGTTTCTTTACCATTATAATGCACATACATTTTGTAAGTAAGCTTGCTTTAAATTGCTACATCAAGTACTGATTTTTTAAAATTTTTATATACATTTGTATATGGAGTTATTTTCTTTCAGAATGATAGGTCATACTTCTGAAGATTCAACCTGGACAATACCAAGTTTCAGTGAAATGTGCTTCAAAGCATAAAATAATGACCTGTGTAAGGTCATTATTTTCCCTGGTAAAAATGCAAACTTTACTAAAACATTTAATTCATTTGAAAGTTGTCGTGTGTTGCTGCCAATTGGGGTTTTACTTTTCAATGTTCCATCTTTAAGGCAGAAAAATTATTTGCTCCGTTTATTAGACTGAAATACCAAAAAATAATTTTGTGCTCATTTTGTGCCAGTTCTAAATTTTCATAATTTATACCGTCTTTTTTCTCTATCAAATGACAAATATTCTCATTTTCATTGGGGGACAGCCACATACTTTCAAATGACTTTACAATAGGGATAAAAAGGGGGGTTATAACATTTTATCCTGATTGTACTTCTAGCTAAAACAGAGGAAAAAGTTATTCTGAATAGTTTGTTAAAAATTGAAAAAATTTCTGGGGTAAAAATGTCATGTAACCATGGTAACAACAATGAACAAGAGAGAAAAAACATAGCAACCCCTTTACAAAGTTAATAAAATAAATTACTTACAAAGTGACTTGTATTTTTCATACACTGTAACAATTCATTTGTTTCTTGTTCCATGCAATTTCAATCAAATCTTTATTGAAATAACTGGACAGAGATTTGGAAAGTTTATATATCCATATTAATTAGTGATATTTCACATTATAAGTGGGGCGTAATTAAACCTAAACACATGATAAAAGAATATCCCATCCTAAAAGGATTGGTAAAAGAGAAAACAAATCCTGCAAGTTTTTACAGAAAATAATATTTTTTTACCGTATACAAGTTTCATACATGTAAGTGTGGCGAGTTGGCAGACCTTTATTTATCGAGATCAATATACATGTACATTTTTGTACTTTTCATTTATAGTTGGGTGAGTTGGTACATCTAAATTCATGGGGATTAACTTTTTTAAATGAGTTAGTGGAAAGTAAGATGAGTGTATCAGGGGCGATTTTGCAGTGGGGCGAGTTGTTACTTCCACATCGTATTATCATGATTATGCTTATAACTCTACACAATTATGGACTTGTAGCTATTCCACCAAAAAACTACCTGATCCAACTACACAGACCATCTAGACACTACAATTCTATGGCATACACCATCTTCAACCCAAGACATGACTATTTTAAGAACTCATTCTTTCCAAGAACAGTAATAGCCTAGAAATTTATAACCTACCATCCTCGATAGTGAAACTGAAAGCTCTCACTGTGGAAGATTTCAAGACACTGTTTGCGTAGATGACCAGCACCACCTGTACAGCATGCAGCGTATTCTTAACTTTTAATTATATTCATTGTAAATATTCAGAATCCGGGTCCGTTCGCGCCCAATCACGTTCGCCCCCATTCACGTTCGCCCCCTTTCACTTTCGCACCCTACACGTTCGCACCCTACACGTTCGCGCCCAATTTTTATTAGTTTTGTGTTTAATAATTTGTTAACTAGTTTTGGTAAGTGTATTGCTATAAGTATATTTTTTTCATTGTTTCTAAATAAAGTGAGATTCTGACAAGGTCTTTTTTGTGTCATGGTAAATGTATTGCTATAAACATTTTTTTTTCATTGTTTTTAAATAAAGTGAGATTCTGACAACCAGTATTTTATTTTTTTGTTGAATAATTTTTAATCATGTTTTGGTTAGTGTATTGTTATAAATATTTTTTTTCATTGTTTCTAGTAAATAAAGTGCTAATCTGACAACGTTATTTTGGTGTTGAATAAATGGTAAGCATGGTAAGTGTATTGCTATAAATATATTTTTTTCATTGTTTCTAAATTTAGTGAGATTCTGACAACGTTTTTTTAATGTGTTGAATAAATCTTAATCATGTTTAGGTAAGTGTATTGCTCTATATATATATCTCATTCAAGAGTCAATCCCAAATTGAGGTAAATTATATGGGCTTCCAAATACCGTTTCGATTCCTAACATCACTGAAGAGACATTAATTGTCGAAATCCGGATATGGTGTACAAATTTTTGCACCTCATGTTTGCGGTATACCATCTTCTCCGCAAGTTTTTAGTTTTTTCTATTTGGTATTAGATTAAAATTAAGATTCATTTTGTTACATCTGTGATCCGTTTATTTTGCAATCGCCATGGCAGTCAGCAGGGTTTAAGAACATCCGTTGTTCGACCTGCTAGTCAAATGCGTTTTGTTAAAATATACTTTTTCACTTTTTGTTCTTTTGGAAAATGTTGTTTGTGCTGTATTTAGACCCCTCTACCAAGAAATTTGTTTTGGGTGCGAACGGACCTAGGGGGCGAACGTGTGGGGTGCGAACATGTAGGGTGCGAACGTGTATTGGGCGCGAACGGACCCGATACCAAATATTCATTACCAGAACATAAACACAAAGTACTGAGTACTCATCCTTGAGTTTAACTACTAAATCCAAGAAGAAGATAACATTGGGCCTAATTTAAGAATGTCTGAGGTTCAGCTGGATATATGCCACTAACTTACCCTCTCCCTAAACCAGGAACATATCCCAACGGTGCTGATAAACCGATGAAATGCTTCTTTCTTTTGCTTACAAACGACTGAACAGACATTTTCGATCTCACAACGTTGAATTATCAACATCCGGTCGGAGAAAAGGAATAAAATAAGCTAAAAGAAGTATTTCGTCCTGGAACCATGCCCAATGTGACACGATGCCTTATCGATGAGTTTAATCCTTTTCATTTCTTGTCAGACCGATGTGTACAGTGTAAATACATGATCTCTATCTTTTTACCTTTTTACCTCAGTCTATCAGTTTCTTGTATGTTCCTCCAGGGGCCTCGGTGGCCGAGTGGTCTAAGCAGTTACTACTGTAATCACTAGCCAGTCAACACTGAGGTTGTGAGTTCGAACCCCGCTCGTGCGGGTGCACTCGACTCCAATCTTAATTGACTAGGATTGTCAGTTTTCCTATCGAAGGTCGGTGGTTTTCTCCGGGCACTCCGGCTTCCTCCACCAATAAAAACTGGCCACCACGAAATAGCCCAAAAGCGGTGCTTAAAAGCGGCGTTAAAACACCAAAAATAAAATAAATAAATAAATATGTTCCTCCATTAATTGTGGAGCACTACCCATAGGGTATAATTGTAGCAACTATATACACCTTAAAACATAAGGAAACATAAAATTATGTACAGATGACTTACAATAAAAAATAATAAATGATTAATATCCTTATTGATTCATAGGATTGTCATTATAGAATTTAAATCATAAAATTTAAAAATAATAATCATATGTGCTGAGGTGTAAGAACAAGTTTAGTAAGAACTGGATATATTTACAAATTAGTATTAAGAATTTAATTAGTCTTAAATTTAAATTATACTTATAATTGTAAGTTAACGGTGCTATTCTTACATCAGAATTTATAACGATAAGATTATTTAAAAAGACTGTTATGTAAAAGGGTTGGGGTTTAGAACAATTCAAATACATAAGTTTTCCTTCACAGTTTAAAATTACCTATTTTTAGGATCTTGTCATTATTCTTTATTTATTTTTGTTTAACATTTATAACTTTATTAACAAGGTAAATTATTTGAAAAAATAAAGGCATATATTTTTAGAAATGAAATAGCCACAAAAAAAATGCTATATCTTTATTGCGGTGATACACAGCTGTTTATTTGCCGAATTTGTTGTCGAAAGAAGGACATCTTATAAAGAGTAAGCTAATAGTATACAATAATAAATGCAATTAATGCAAATGTGATATAAGTCAAAATATTGACAAAACAAAACAATGAAATACAAAAGAAAATTAAGATTGTTTGTAATTTGCCTCTGAAAGGAACAGAACACGTTTTACAATAAAAATTGGATAACATCTTGTAGTACTGAACTAGGTGACCTAGGTCTATGTGCATCTTCAACAATGAACACTCTGGCTCCAACGTTGTATACTAGAATAAAATTGATGACAAAAATCTCTTTTTTGTGGATCTGATGCTGATGATATTTCTGTTTACAGCTTCTCTCTATCTACCAAAAAAACACACAAAAAGGATAAAAAAATCGCTCCTAAATAGAGTCTACTGACGATTACTGTAAAAAATAACTTATCTGTAGATCTTGACTTGCAGATCAATTTTGCTTTATAAAGTTTCTATCTATCTATAACAGTTTTTAAGATATTAGTCTGACAACCGAAACTCATCATCACCACTAAAGGGCAATACCTTCAATAAGGAGTCGTCTAGCGATTTCGGCCATGTTGATTTATTTATAGATTTTGTCTAGCTGATAATTTTTGCTATTCAAAGTTTCTCTATATTTTAGTTACAAGATAATAGGCTGGCAGTTTTGACAATAAGAAGATCTCAACGTTCTGAACATTTTTGTTCCTGTCAGAATTTTTTTCTATTTTAATATTGTAGTTTTCAAGATAATAGCGAAGACTTGCATTAAACACCTATGTACTATTTTAGCCATGTCGGCCATGTTGGTTGGCAGGCGGGATCTGTTATAAAGTTCACCGCACTTTATTACCGTATCATCTGTTACAGTAATTATAATTGACAGATCAGCAACTCTCACATGTCTGCACGTTCTTAAATAAACATAATTAAATAGATCAATTGAAGTTCTTATACACATGTTGTCATTCTGTAGTCTGACCATCAAACGATGTACTTGTTAATAAATTAGTTATAGAAACTGGATTGTATTATTATATAGCAAATATATTACACATTTTGGCGACGAGGATAACTGGAATATTAAAATAAATGTGAATTTCTAAACGTAATAATGCCGACTTACGGGAAATTAGACTCTTTTGATGAATCCGAAGATTGGACACAATATGTAGAACGTATGGAACATTATTTTAACGCTAATGAGATAGACGATGAAGACCAAAAAAGAGATATTTTCTTAAGTGTATGTGGGAAGAATATCTACAAATTAATCAGGGATTTATTAGCACCAGCCAAACCAGGAACGAAATCACTGGCCGATTTAACAAAACTAGTGAAAGACCACCGAGATCCAGTACCATCAGAAATTATTCAAAGATTTAAATTTAACAGTAGAACAAGACACAGCGATGAGTCAGTGAGGACATTTATTGCAGCACTAAGAAGTCTGACAGAACACTGTAATTATGGTGACACGTTAAACGCGATGTTACGAGACAGGTTAGTCGTCGGAATAAAGAGTGACCGCATACAGAGGAGGCTGTTAGCAGAGCCGAAATTAACTTTTGACAAGGCATTGGAAATTGCTACCGCTATGGAGACTGCTGAGAAGAACGCACAAGACATCCAAGCGAGTGGGACAAATGCAACATTTCAGAAACAAGTCAACAAAGTTTCAAAATCATATACAAGAAACAACTCTGGAAATTCGAAACAAGGAGATTGTTACCGGTGTGGAGGAAATCACTTAGCCGCCGATTGCAGGCATACACAAGAATTGCGGACAGCTCAGCTGGATGGCTTTATCAGATACCACACAGAGAACCGTAATCATTGAACATTTTTTAACGTTATTGTCTATGGGGAATTATGACCACTAGCTAAATAAACGAATACTATGTCTATTTTATAAATCTCATATAAAATTAATAAATTATAGAGATCTCACCAGTTGTTTAGCTTTGAAATGGTGTAATAAAATACACTTTATCTTGATATTTACTGTTGTCCCTATCATGTTGAACGTCGGGTTCTCTTTTGGTTGAGATATGTTAAATTACGAGGTATACATATTTTATAAAAAATCATATTAAATTCATTTTTTATTGTAAATCAAATTAACAAATTATACAGTATTGAAAAATAATTTTCCTATCAAATGGTATAAGAATCGTCATTTTAAAATAATGTTTACTGTTGTCCCTAAGCATTTGACAGTGAAACTTCATTATTTATGAATACGATGTATATTCATTCAACTAAGATTGACCGTATTCAAAGACAAATTGGTCTTGTTATTTAGTTGAATTCTCATTTTTATGATGTGAACTTCTTTTCTAATTACATCCATCATTTTAAATATCTAGTTAGGTTTTAAACAATATATTAATTTCTATTATACCAAAGAGTTCTTTAAACATCAAAATTTTAAAAGTAGTGTGGTTTTGTTGACATCTTGAAGAAAAATATGCAAAAAGTTTTTTTTTTTTTTTCTTTTTTTTTTAAAGGCTCTGTCTAATTAATCTTATTTTGATTTGAGTAATTATATTATTATTATCAAATATTTGAATACACAATTGCATGATTGTATTATTGAAAAAAAATGTCTACGAAATCTGAAAAACTAAATTGAAATAGAAAAGATGACAACGTGCAATTTTTAATGTTATTCAAAACATACAAAATTTTATACAAGTTTTGTATAATGAAAAGGTATAGGGAATATTATTCTTATCATTATAAGAAATGATCAAAGAAGTAAATGCAAGTATTTTGAATGTATACAGTAAGATATCATAGCATCAAAATCATTGTTAGGATATGCTATCTTTATGTTCTCCTTCATACATTAATCTTATTGTTTAGTACAAGGATTTGTATAGTACTATTCAAATCCTTGTTTAGTATATTCATAAAATGTCGTTTAATAATACAAATGACGAAAAACATCGAAGTCCTTTTTAAGAAAAGCTCCATAATTATCGATCTCAGCTAACATATAAACACGAATGTGTCAATATTTACATAGTATATTGTATAAGCGTCCCATGGTGCCACGGCAAATCCTTTCCGGTGCTGTATCACTATTCAATACCATATGTTACTATTTTATCTTATCATTTAAGTATTATATTGAAAATATAGTAGTCCATGCACAAGAGCTTGTTGGGAGACCCCCTTTTTTTAAATTTTTTTTGCAGTTCATTTATAATTTCAAAATAGTCTTTTCACATCAACTTTTTTACCTTGTCTAAAGTGTTCAAACTCTTATCAATGCGATTTAACAATAATAATTTATGTATGTTGCCCTCTATTCTTATGTTTAAGAGTATTCTACACATACGAATATAGGGTAACACATATAAACTAATTTTATAAAGTAAAAAAAAAAAATTCAGATACGACTGAAATATGAACGAATATTTTCAAATAAGATTAATTACAACAAAAAGATAATTATAAAATTAACTAGACAAAGTGATGCCCCGCACTTCACTCTGAAGTAACTGTATCATAACAAAGATAATGTAGAACTTTATCTGAGATTTAATTGTGTCTGGGAGACACAAATGATGCCCCCGCAGATGCAAAGTGTTATTTTAAAATAATTTCAACTATCTCCCAAAAGTGCAAATATTAAACCCTGACCACATGCACACCTTCAATATATGTACAAACCACTAAACTTTAAGGAGAAAGTCTGCGGTTTTATTTACTGATATCTATGTCTAATTAAGGGTAGTGAATAATGTAAATGTATGTTCCTAGAGGACAGGAAAATATTACAATTTAATCCACAGGTGTTTATGATTTTACGTGTTACCTAGATCAAATAAAATTCAGCATGGAGTATACATCTGGCTTATACAATGTCAATATCGAATACATGTGACCTACCCATATCAAATAAAATCTAAAATTGACAGTAATGTACATCTTGTCATATTT